TACTAGTTTTGTTGATTTCATAATAATGTTTATAAGGTCGTAATAAATAATAATATCTCTTTATTTGGGTATCATTCCAGTAAAGGGATAAGGGTGATTGTGAGGACTTGCATGCCGAAACAACAATTTGATTTTAAAGGACGCCGTAGTGGAGGGCGCCTAACTAATTTTGATCACAAATGTGGACCTGCATTTAAGCACACGGGTATTCTTTGCATTTTTCCCCCGCCAAGAAATATCTTCATGGAGGGATGAAATGCTGGCTAATGCTTTTCTTTTCATTGATGAATGCCCTGAACAGGCTAAACTATAAGTGTGTGCAAGTGGAACTTCATGGGCTTTGAGTGTTGCACGATGGATCCGTGCTCATGACATTCACAGGCTGCATGAGGTGTTTTCATTCCAGCGAATCCTTTAATTTGGTACACTTCTCATTTTGATCTGAAATAACGAATTTTCTTCATGTTTCGAGTGTTACTCACACCACTATTAACAAGTTCACAAGTACGTTGAGGAGCCAGAGCAATTTCAAGTAGCCAGCATCACTTTGCTGGGTCCGTGCTGTGGTGCCATCTAATGACTTGCACCAGAGTGTGCCTGGGAGTGGCCAAACATGCCGTGGCCCCAGTCGTGTACACTGTCAACACCTGAAAACACTCAAACTTCAGTGCTCAGGTTTGGGCGCTCAATAAAGAAGCCCAGGTGATCGAAATTTCCGGAGCCCACTATTACGGTGTTTCTCATAATCATGTGGTGGTTTTGGGATGTTAATCCCCACAATTATATCTATCTACACTAAAACCTCACTATAACAAAGTTGCATCTTACAAGAAAGTAAGTTATATCCGAATACTCGTTATAAAGTTTTATTCGTAACGCTATATCAATTGTAAGATTATTGTTCATTTACTTTGCGTTTACCAATATTTCATTATATCCATGTTTGTTATATTCAGGCTTGATTGTATCCTTACACTCAGGCTGGAAGGAAGAAAGGTATGAGGGAAAAATTATCAGCTCATGATGGAACATCATCGTTCTCTCCCGTTGTGATTCCTGTAGTTTTAGCATTCTATGAAAAGCGATATGGTATAACTACGGAACACGAACACTCGGTTCACGATGCCAGCACATGATGAAGCACGTCTGATCCAAACGCCACTCATTATTTATGTCAGCTGTTGGCCAATAGCACACTTTCTCTTGCGTGGACAGGGTAGCCAGTCGGTCTGAGAACTGGCTAACCTCCCCGTCCTTCCTCATTTATTCCTCCTCCTCCTCCCCTTGCGTGGCACCAAATAGCAGATGCTGGCAAACCTCAAGAGAGTTATACTGGCCACTGTATGAATACAGGGTGCCTGAGAAAATGGCAACCTCAGGTCCTGCTTTTAAATTTGACTGCAACACTTGGCTGAGCTGTTCGTAGCAGCGGCTGCGTTCTGTAAGATGCGTGTATTTTCACCAATTTTGAGAGATGCTTTATAACCCCTTTAACCCCTTAACCGTTTTGGACAAGTGTGGCTCCTCCGCTTGAGATAATATCTGCCCATGAGCATTTTTCACAACACTTCCTTGCTTCCAAGCTGCGACTTTGTGTGTTGTTTCACGGATGGCAGCACTTGCTTGACAATTTTTTTTTTATTTTAAAGAGGCACTGGCACCTTTTTTTCGGGGGCGAGCTTACTCTGCCGTACAAGTATAGTGCATACAGAGATGACTTTGAGCAAGTATGAAGTTCAGGAAACGCTGATAAGACATTTTCTTTTGATATTAAAGTCAATTATCTTATGGTGCACCTACTGACATCGGCACTAGCTTGACATCAGGCCACAGTACTAACCCTGGTGACCACAGGCAGCAGTCTGGCAAGCTGTGACGACGTCAGGTTCCAAAACCTCCAAAATGGTCGCTCGTATGTCACCAAAACATTAAAAATGGCCGCTTCTACGTCATGAATAGAATCACAGTGTGGAACTTCTGTGAGAACGTCACAGCATCTTGCGCGAACACGTGAAAAGAAGATGGTGCCGTGTTGTGACGTCAGGTTACAGTAGGAATCGAAACTAGGTTTTAAAAACATGCTGTAATTACTTCTCTAGGTTGCAGTCATGGCTAGCCATACATTTCTAGGGTCTTGAATGCTTTACCTTTTATTTGACGCAGAAAAACATCAACTGAAAGCTTTCGTGTCAGTAGTAATCCTTCAAGAGCCATTTCACATGTTTTTCCGACTTGTGCTTACAAAATGTTGTCCAGTGAATGCAGCGCATGTATGACTCATGTGTTAGTATAAAAAGAAGCATTTTATCATTGTGCAGCTCTTCGGGCGCTAATCATTTCAGTAATGAGAGTTTACTTTCATGACTCTACGTGTTGTATTTGCTATTTTCTCAATGAAGGCACTACTATTTCACAAATCGCAAATGACTTTAATAGGTCATATGTGAATATATTTCATTATGCTAACGTACTTCAATTTTTTCCATTGATCAAAACGGGCTTTTAGTATTTTCAGAAGTGAAATCGTCAATATCAAGTTGAAAAAAAAAAAGACACCTTGAACAGAAAAACTAGTGAAAAAGAAAACAGGTGTTTAAAGCAGTTTATGCTATGCACGAACGAAGGTGCATCTGGAGAGACCGGAACAGAAAAATGTTGTCGTCAATGTCCAAACCAAATGTCATCAACCGCTTTGTGCATATGTTTTCTGTTGGAGCAGTGTTTGAAGGCTGCTAGTAAGAAAACTGTTCCATTACGTGCCCTGTCTCTTGGCAAACATTGTTTCACTCATGTATGCTACTACTTATTCACGATATATCTAGCAAAAGTGAAATCTTATTGCATTAAGCACTTAATTCAATGCTTCATCCACTGTTTTTAGAATTAAGTTTAGACATACTGCAAACTTTCTCGTTGGCCCGCACGATCACACCACTCGGAAAAACGACTCCTTCCGGGAGCGTCTTCTGTTTAGATATGAGATACGGGAAAAGCTTGTGCCTATCTGACGTGCAACGGAGCATTGCCGTCACTATAGTTTTACGGTGGCCTGATGTCAGCACGTGAACTTGCTTCGCCCCCTTCTTCTCGACGGTTGTGGTGACAGGCATGTCGAAGTAAAGAGGCGTCTGATCGGCATTCCCGATTTGCCCAAGCAGGGAGCCCTTGTTGTGCCGCAAGTTTAGGACGAACCTCTGAAAACTGTGAAGCTTTTCTTTGTACTCCTCCGGCAACTTTTCGCATATGCCCATTTGCCTTCGGAGGAAAAAGCCTTTCCTCTTCATAAAGTTAGTTAGCCAGCACCTGCTCGCCTTAAACTGGCGATGCATTAGCCCTTTTTCTAAGGCTAACTGCATAGCCTGCGCTTGGAGCAGTTCCGTTGTCATGGGCTGCTGTGCCGCTCACTGCTCAATCACATACTCGCCGAGCAGCTCTTCAATTTGCAGAAACCGATCCTGCTGTGGTCCACTGAAGCCTTTATCTTTGCTGTCGACAATCTGCTGCTTTTGTTTCCGCCAGTCCCGCACGCACGTTTCGGGAACTACGAACGACCACGATGCGGCCCGATTTCCGTCCGTTCCGGCACACGCGATAACTTTTCTTTTAAAAGCGGCATCGTGGTGCACACGTTGAGTTTTAAAGTCGGCCCTTCCATGCCATCGATGCTAATGCACTACAAGATGACGAACTCCTCAGCACATGTACGAAGTGCCGCTCATGGGAAACACGTAGGCAGAAATGGCCGACGCGCCATGCCGACGCACGTAGGGGGCAGCCATTTTGGGAACGCCGATGGCAATAGAATGACCGTATTCATTTTTTTTTTTCGTACTCGATTCCAACGCGAATGCGATTTATAAACTCGCTTAACAGGGAAAAAAGTGCGCGTTAAATTCGAGTAAGTATGGTGACCATACCATAAGATGGCTTGCTATACGTAGTACCGCGTGTCACCTAAATCATTTATGAAATGCTCTAGTGTAGCTTGGTGTCTGCTGCCCAACTTCGTCAAGGAATAACTTATTTCATGATAAAAATCAAACAACCAGCCCAACTTCTGATTCTGTACCAGCATGTTAAAACTTTGCATGGTGATCGATGTTGCAGATCCGGAATAAGGTTTACAGCACTATGCTTTTTTCAACACGAAAATGTTTTATGCCGGGATTCGGCACGGCTCTCTTGACGTACTTCCGTCATGGATATAATGTTGTAAAATATCCACTAACAGATTAAAAAGGAAAAAAAAAACGAGAAGAGAAGGTTCTGTTGCACGGCGTCAAACTAGTGACCTCTCAATCTGCTCCGCGTGGCGCTAACCACTTAGCCACGAAGTGTACATTGTCAAAAGTGCTAATGGCAAGCCATTTATATATACAGTATATACCATTTGGCGATCCTCAGATCTCCGTAACTTCAGCGCGTTTTTGTCATTCGTAGCGAGATGGCGCCAAGATCTCACGTTGGCCAAACTTTTTTAAGGTCATATCTTCTAGCGTTTCTGTAAGTGCTGCCTTCACGGAGTAATCACAAACATGCGATTCAGGAGAGCACAAAGGTCACTTCGCTCGCAGCCGCGCTTATGGAAGGAGCACGCTGCTTGCACTCGAATAAGAAAGAATTGTGACAGTTGTTTGCACTTGTCCCGTGCATACTGGTGCGTTTCGTACACGTTTCTTTCTTTTTGAACAGGGCACTCTAAGTGCGCTGTTCAAAAAGAAAAAAAAAACTGACAGTTTTTAGTCCTCACACTTTTTGTGTATTCTCATTTCATGCCTGCTTTCTGCTTGATGCACGCGCTGCAAGTTTTGAGCTGGTTGTCATTCTTTGCGCGACTTTGACATTTGTTGCTGTAGCAATTATTCCTTCGTCATTGTGGCGAAACACTTCACAATAAATTCTCAACTACCTCGGTGGAGACACGTTTCATTTTCGTGTTATACCGATCCCCAGAAGGAGGGATCAGCCTCATTTTTTTCCCCCTCTGATGTGTCATTTAGGGATACTTCCTGATTGCTGGCGAGGGCTACCCATGCCTCACGGAGCCGTTAACGGTGATGCCACCGTTTCGCAAGCCACTCCAAAACGAAGCAGAAGCCAGCTTCAACGCTATCTGCAACCGAGGCCTGGCAGTGCTTCACGACGCGCTGACCCAATTGACTGGACGATGGAGACTTGTGTTCGAGAGGCGTCTGTCAACAGTGAGACAGCGCACAGCAAAGGTACTTTACAAGCCTGTTGAGGGTTTGATATAAGGCTTGTCAAATCACTCTGACATTAATAATAATAATTGTAGGGGTTCAATGTCCCAAAACCATGATATGATTATGAGAGATGCCATATTGGATGGCTGCGGGAGTTTCAATCACCTGCGGTTCTTTAACATGCACTTAAATCTGAGCACACGGCCTTCAAACAGTTTTAACTTGATGGGACCGGCGGACCGGCAGTCGAGCACATTAACTGCTAAGAAATCGTGGCAAGTGAGATCAGTCTTACAAGAAAACACATTTGGGGCGCGTTTCTGCCACACTACCATAGCTATCATCCTTATCACATGCTTTTGTTGTGCTATCGCCACATAAGATCACTGATAGCTTCAGTGTCACTGCACTTTCTTTGCATTCTCAGTAATGAGCAGTGTTCAGCTATCATCATCACACAGCTCATTGATAAGGAAGCAGCAATCCCACAGTTTTCAAGGAAGGAAACTCAAGCTTGTCAGGTAATTATTGTTTTATGGCAGAAACACTCCTTCAATACACTTTTTCTTGGATTGTATACGCTAAGAAGGGAACGACAAAGGAAGGCAGTTTCAGGGAGACGTTATTCTTTGGAACTCTATTGTAGTTATTTTTGCAATCACAGATTCATCTATGAGAGTCATAGTTTCGACGCAAAATTTTGTGCTGTTACTCCAGCATCGAACATCAGTATGCTCGGTATACCGATGGAGGTTCCCTTGCTCCCTTACAATTTATGCAATTCATTTTTACCAATAAGCATAGGGGATTGATCTTAGATTCACAACCTCTGCATGCTAAATTTGCATATAGTCACGTATCTTTGAGTATCTGTTAGTGTTTTTGTTTCTCATGCAGAATTACATCACTTGCTCAATAAATGTGTTTACGACTATCACTTTGTTTCATTGGGTCCTGTAATGACTATATTATTTTGTAATACTTACCGCACTTGCAGGAAAACCTCAATATACAGAGGGCTCTTTATTCGAGACAAGTGGTTGGTTCTTGGGACACCTTAAATGTAAAATCCGATGATTTATTTTCTTGCCTTGTGATGCAGTAACGGCCAGTCATCACTTCCTTCTGTTTTCATGTGCACAGGAGTCATGCCTGGAGTATTAGAATTTGACACTGTCACTGTAACACCGCACTATGTAAAATAGTGTCATATAATGCTGTACTGTAAAGGGCAATAGATAATGTTAATTGGCAATCTAAAATAACCTGGCAATATTAAGCGTCATATTGTCATGCCATAGTCATTGTCGTCATTTTGGCACTGTACTCGTTCTACTTGTACAAATTCTCATCACTTCACCATAGTCTGTGTTGCATTAGTACCATCGTCACAACCGTGACATTATTGCCCTTGTGTTCACTGCTTCGTGCTCTGAACGACTCGGATTGACCGGAGGCTCACTGCGTTTCCTCCAATGTCAGGTAGTGGCAATCTGTGCCATGATCCACAACCTGTGCGTGGACGAAGGTGACGTCTGGTATGACGTGTCGGACGAGCCGTCTCTGAGTATGGAGCCCGCGGGCGACTTTTCCTGGTGCGTGCCGGGCGACGAGGAGCTAGACGATGAAGCGGGGCTCATCGCACGATCTAACCTAGCACAGGTGCGTATCACTGACCTGATATCTCAAGGTAGTGCTATGTGGAAGCACAGCTTATGCCGAATTCCAGTGAGAGAACAGGAGGGTGATTCCACGAGAGATCGACACGGGTCCAAAACTTGATATTTTAGGTTTTATTGAGTATTTTATATTTCGTGCACCTCTCACCAGGTAGCCCGAAAGTCAACTTCGTTTTATGATTAACGGCATAACTTACGAGAAAAAAAAATATCAAACTTCACCAACACGGAGGCACCAATTTCGTCACCTGTCATTTTCGAAAATTGCAGATGCTATAAAAAGACAAATATTTTTGTTTCAAGGAAGATATTTTTTACCTGAAATGCATGTCTAATGAAGGATGAATTCATATGGTTTCAAGTTTGTAGACCTTAAGGAAATAGCTTTTAAAAATGTCTAATTTTGCGATAGTTTAAAATAAGTTATATATTCCCCATTTTTTTTCTCCGCAAGTAATGCAAGCAGCGTTTTCAAACTTGACAGGATTTAAGGATATAGTGTGTTCATTAGGTACATAAACTATTGCTGCCGTAGGGCAAATGTAAACTTTTATATATTGCCTCAAAGTTCTCATATTGGCAAAAGTGTACTCCACTGAAATTTGAATAATAAAAAAACCGCATCTTCGATTTTTCTTAAAATCTCGTAAATAGACAACCGAAGGCCATCATACAGTAATATAGAAAAACGTGTTGCATTATTTTGTTTTTAGCGACAATATTTGTGGTACAAATCAGAGCTTTTCGAGAATGTGCTGATAAGTTGAGAAAGCTAGAAATCGGAACGGAAAAGCGGCAATAAGCTTCAAACGCGAGTAAACGTGACCGCATTTGATGAAGAAAGGCTGTTTTAGCAGATAGGAGTAACTATTTTGAACACGGTATTCTACAGTATCTGAATTCACACGTAGAGCACTGAGACTTCCAATATGTGGTGCCTCTCTATTACTGACACACAGATGGAGCTGCTGTGACGGCCATGTGTTTGCAACACGTTGGGTAAGAGAATGATTGTTGAATGAGTTCATAAACGATTCATAAGAAATTTTTATCATTTGGGTCACGAAGACTGCCGCGTTAGACTGAAGAACACGCTTTAGGGCAAGTTGTCATCTGTCGTCTGCTCTGCAGAGGAATTGCTGTAACTTTATCGACAAAAGTAATTTGCTGTAATTTTATCGACAAAAACATTGTGAAATTCATTTTAACGTACTATACTTCAGTTTTGCATTCGCACTGTGGATACTTGTGCGTAAGTATTACGGGAGGCGTAATCTTTGTCCCTACTTTCAACCATATGATCTAAAGCATTGCCTCCGAGATGCGGCGCACAGCAATTCATCTGTAGAGCAGACGACAGATGACAACTTGCCCTAAAGCGTGTTCTTCAGTCTAATGCGGCAGTCTTCGTGCCCCAAACGATAAACATTTGTTATGAATCGTTTATGAACTCATTCACCAATCATTCTCTTACCCAACGTGTTGCAAAGACATGGCCTAGGGAGCCTACATAAACGGCCGTTTTTAGGGTGGAGACATCTTAATAAGTGCCTTCAAGAAACTCAGCCAAAACTAGCGGGCAACAGGGCACGCTGTTGCCAGCTTCCACCAAATTCAGCATAGTTTTCTGTGCGCCGCCATTTTGGAGCCAGCCGCCGCACCCTCCAGCTACGCGAAGTATGGCGCAACAAAAAGGAGCCTGGGCTTTTGACAGCGGCGGTTCTCAGGGTCGTGTAAGCGACCCAGTTCTCAAAGTGAGCGCACGAAGAAATTCGCAGCCCACACACAAACACTTGCGACATAATACTGAGGTTACGCTGACACGAACGCAAGCGTGGCAACAGCTCAGACTAGCGAGCGCGTCTCCGTACGAACGCGCGGACGCGTCCCGTTTGTGGGCTTCCTACTCGCAATGCGTGGACGCAGCAACGACAACTTCGGTTATCTACTCATTCGCGAACACCGCGAAACACATATACGTGTGCCGCAGGAAAAAACAGTGAACGAAATACACAGTACTCACAGAGCAAATACGAGACGCACTGGTGGGCTCCCAGCCGTTTGCTTCACTTGAGCCAGCCATAGTTGTCGTCGGCCAGGGCTCGCTGGGAAGCGGAACACTCGCACCCCCTTTCTGTTGTGGTTAGTGCAGAGCGGTACGCAGCATCCAGGCATTCTAAGGCTTCACCGGCAGCGTTTAACACGCCACCGCAACGTTCGACACCGTATTATTGAGAACTAAACGCAACCGGGCGTAGACGCAGTGCGGGCACCAAGATGGGGCAACAGCGCGGCGTTGCTGTCTGGCAACATTGTGTTTTGGCGGGCGGCGGCATAGTGGGTCAAAGGCTGACATCACCCTAAAAACGGCCGTTCATGTAGGCTCCCTAACATGGCCGTCACAGCAGCTCCATCTGTGTGTCAGTAATGGAGAGGCACCACATATTAGAAGTCTCAGTGCTCTACGTATAAGAGTGAATTCAGATACTGTAAAATACCGTGTTCAAAATAGTTACTCCTATCTGCTAAAACAGCCTTTCTTCATCAAATGCGGTCACGTTTACTCGCGTTTGAAGCTTATTGCCGCTTTTCCGTTCCGATTTCTAGATTTCTCAACATATCAGCGCATTCTCGAAAAGCTCTGATTTGTAGCACAAATATTGTCGCTAAAAACAAAATAATGCAACATGTTTTTATATATTACTGTATGATTGGCCTTCAGTTGTTTATTTACGAGATGTTAAGAAAAATCGAAGATGGGTGTTTATTATTATTCAAATTTCAGTGGAGTACATTTTTGCCAATATGAGAACTTTGAAGCAATATATAAAAAATTTGATTTGCGCTATGGCTGCAATAGTTTATGTACCTAATGAACCCACTATATCCTTAAAACGTGTCAAGTTTGAAAACGCTACTTGCATTACTTTCGGAGAAAAAAAATTGGGAATACATAACTTATTTTACACTGTGGCAAACTTGGACATTTTTAAAAGCTATTTTCTTAAGGTCTACAAACTTGAAACCGTATGAATTCATTCTTCATTAGACATGCATTTCAGGTAAAAAATATCTTCCTTAAAACAAAAATATTTGTATTTTCATATCATCTGCTATTTTCGAAAATGACAGGCGACGAAATTAGTGCCTCCGTGTTGGTGAAGTTTGATATTTTTTTTCTCGTAAGTTATGCCGTTAATCATAAAACGAAGTTGACTTTCGGGCTACCTGGTGAGAGGTTCATGAAATATAAAATACTCAATAATATCTAAAATATCAACTTTTGGACCCGTGTCGATCTCTCGTGGAATCACCTAGGAGCAGAGGAGTAGTGCAGTGAGGAGAGCGGGGTCACTCGATCTGTCACTTCAACATTGCACGCTTCTGGAGAAGGGGTGACAAGTTTATTGGCCATTTATCGCTGATCAGGCCTCTTGAAGCAGTCGTGCATTGCCAATACATAGCTTTTTTGCTATAAGTACGTGCCTTCAGCACAAAGCTCTCTATAGCACTTCAGAAGCATCACGATTTACCATGCGTGTGAGTTGTTTCAAACATTCCTTTAATAGCAAGGCCTTCTTTTCTTGAAGGCCTGAGGTGCTTATTTTTCATTTTTACACTGTTAGGATTATATAAGCATGCATAGTAGTGGGAAAGCAGCAGATATTTTCTGGTACAGAAGTGCAGAAAGTATGAATTGATCGAATGATGAAGTATGGATGAAGAGGCTTTTGAATACACTGAAAGAATAGAGGGCCAACCAAAAAATTGAGTTTTGCTTGAATTAACCAAAAGTATGAATTATCAGAGTTAGATTTATTGTGTGTCAACTGTACTTTGAAAGGCATACAGACACAAGCATTTTGGCCTCAGTTTTTTTTTTTTTTGTTTTTTTATGTCATGTATTACTGTAGGTCTGTTAGTCATAACAGGGCACATTGTTTGCTGCGGTGTGTGGCAGATAATTAATTTTAGGGTCCTCATTACCTATCAGTCTCAATTTCAGTTCAAGAGAGCTCCTAAAGAATGACAATTCGCCGGGTGCAGCCATCACCTCCTAGCATGCGCAAAACTGACCTTGGTCAGCACAGAGAACCGTGACGCACTTCTGTACGGTGAGAATAAAGAGGTCCTTTCGTACAGAAAATGGGAAAGCAGTGCTGCTGAACACCAAACTTTCAACGCGTGTGCCACAGCCATGTACTTGTTAGCTGTTGCCGAAGAGTATTTTGCTGCCACAAGCATAGCGAAAGAGTAATGTTTACTATGACATCACCATAACTTGTATTTGCTCCAGCGTGTTGGATATCACGGAAGTAGGGGGACGATCATCGTCGAGTCACTCTCGAGGGTGGCAGCGCCGTGAGGTCTGGCGCATAATGCTGGATCGCACGTACAAACTTCAAATATAAAGTGTCTTTCAAGCCATATTCGTTGCTGATGCTTTGCAGATGATATATGCATGTTCGTAAGAATCGATTACTGTTTTTTTGTCAGTACTTCTTTAAGGACAGGCGCTTTTCTAAAAAAAATTTTCTTTAATTTGTATAGCCTGTAATACTGCGTAATATCTCTGTAAGTGATCCCGCACACTCGTCATTGAACAAAGGACAGGCGGTGGCGTAGCGCCTACCCCAGACCCACACGTTTCCTAGTCCGGTAACAATGAACCGCTGCGTGCCGGAACTTCATTCGGACAAGTGTAAATTTTGCCACAAGAGGGCGGACTTGAGCCACATTTTATGGGCATGCCCGCAGGCCCCCATGAGAGGCGAATTTCCAGACGGGAGTGGATGGGATGCCGCGCTCCTCAGCTCTGACTCTCAATTACAAGCCCGCTTAATACGGCAGGCCGAAGACGCCGCCAGGGCCCATGGCCGTCGTCTAGGTTTGGTCCTCCCTTCTCCTCTCGCACCTAAAAGGGGAGGAGGACCTTTCTGCAAATAATGAAAATTTGTTCATCATCATCTTTAATCTGTAGCCCTAAACTATTGACATTTTAGCTGTCTACGTAGGTGTTTTACGCTTATTTCAATTGTGTAGTTAGTCTGACAGTAACTTCTATAGTTTTTGATTTGTATCGTGATAATGGGTAAAATATAACACTTTTTGGACACACTTTCTTTGCCACTGAACTGTTATGATTGTGAGCCGTTAATGGTTCATATTGGTCCACATTAACTGTACAATGCAAATAACTAATGTTTAAGAGTGTGTAAAGCATTTTAACAAATATTCTTTTGTGGGAGGTTCTAGAGTGATGAGCCCATACTGATCGCTTACATCAAGTTATAATAATGATATAAGATCAGACTTTAAGGCGGTATGAAGGGCAAAGACGAGTGAAAGTGGGATTTTTTAATTTTCATGGCACAATATGCCAGCATTTCTGACAAGTGCTTCCATGAAGTGGCTTGTTCGTATGCACAGTGGGAAGCATTTAAAAATTGTTCCAAACGCACCTGATCCCGTGACTGCACCGTGAAAACTCGAGCTTTAAATGGCGTTTTCTCTTAACACTATCTTTCGTCAGAAAAGGAACATTTTTCTCTGTAACCGCTGAAGCTATCGAATGCTAACTTTTGTGACTTCGTTCTGAATACCATGCACTCTTTCTAAAGAAAAAGAATGTTTTGCCACTACAACTGTATTTTTTACTAGCTTTTTTTTTTTGAGGGAGAAGCCCTGAAATTTTAGTTGTAAAGAGTAGTCATGCTAACAATTATTATTTTGAATACCCTGAATACATGTAATAGCCAGAAGAGATTTCACCATTTTACATGCAAAAGCTTTTTCATGAATGCTCCTTCAAAAATGAAAACAGTCAAGGAATTTTTTTTTTATTATTTTTAGAATGGCTTTATATTTTCTTGCCAAATTCATAAACCGTATAGTAAAATCCCCATTCAAGACACTTGCAAAACTTTGTAAAGTTTGATTTAAAAATAATAGAGCGATGGGCTGTACTAGTTGTGCACCTGTCTATGCTATCCATTCCGCTCTTAAAGGAGATAATTGTACTTTTTGCATGTTAAAGAATATGTGGAAAAAATTTCATCCCAATTTTTTCATCAAAAGTATACAAAAAAATGATGTTCAAACTCGAGAAGATGTCCAAAGTTGCGAAAGAAAGTGCGCTTTAGACGTAGAAATAAAAGTTCCTCTATGTGGCTAAAGTATCCTTTTTAAAGTTGTTTCTTCCATAGTGAGAGCTTAGGAATTATGCTCACTTTTAGCATGTATATTTAGTGTTTGGCTTCGGTGAACTCCTCATGCAAAATGCAATAGCAAGCTGCCAGGTGACAATTTCCAAGGGACCCTAGACAATGAGCTCTTTTTAGTTTTTAATAGCTGCCTTTTTAATACCGATTTTGACCTACTTCGAGTTTAATCACTACCTTGATTTTTTCTTTCTTTTGCTCAAAAAACAGCCTGTGAGAACAAGTAAAAACATAAGATATGCAGGTTTAGAAAGAACCTGCATTTTTGAGGTAGCATCTTTCTTTAGGAGGACTACAATATGCACCACATGAAAGCTTAAAAAGGCCACGTATGCCATCATTACAATTTAATCAAATCTCTGCTTTATTTACAGCCACTGTATTTCGTCCAAGCAGAGAATGCCTGTGCATAGAACGTGCAGCGCCTATGCATATGCCAGATGGTAGCCGCCAGTGTTTCTGGTTAATTCCTCATGCTGTCTAATCTGTCAAGTGCATGCCAGGAAACTCATGGTGGTTCCCAATTTCTGTGGTTGTGCACTTAATTTGGGCCCATTGTTAGTGCTTATCTGATTGTTACTGACGTTTCATTGCCAAGTTTCAGTGTCCCAAACGTATTAACAATTTGGTACAAGGCCTGTCTGTGCCTAGGTTGACTCGAAACGATGAAATTTTTTTACTACGTTCAGTTAAAAGTGAGACTGCTGATATTACCGACCTCACCCCTGAAGAAAAAGAGAGTCCAGCTTTGAAATTTGCTTCCTCAGGTTAAAATTTCTTGCGGAGCACAAAGCGTAGTCTGCCGTTTCACCGCGACTGTCGTTTTTTCAGTTGTCATGCGTAGTGTGCTAAGTGCGCTCTCAAACACACTTCTTGGTCTTGTGTCCCGCAGACACTACTGTCTGAAAACACCCCATGCCAGGTGCAGCTGGAGCACGACTACTGCGGACCCGAGGACGAGTCTCTTCCCGAGGAAGACGACGAGGCCGTCATGGTGTGAAACTGCAACTTTTACTGTTATTTTTGTTGACATGTTTATTTCAAAACACCCTACAAGCCCCTCAGTGAAAAGCATTGAGCCAGGAGGGGGCCATTGTAAGAGAGTGGCTGACAGCATGCGTGTCGAAGCACAGTGGGGAAAACCTTTTCGGCTAGGGCGACAAAACCGGCGCAGTGTGACAGACCACAAGCGACACACGCTAGAGTACTAAAAACATCTTACTTCAAAAGAGCCTTCACTAGCGCATTGATGAGGGAGTTGCTTTGGCATGGTCTCATAAATGCTGCCGCCCATAAGACATTTAAGTATTAAAAAAATGTTTATTTGAAAAAAAAAAACAAGGAAAAAAAATAGATACGGGGAGCATGTGGGTGGGGCCCCTATTCCAGGGCTCCACTGGTTTTAGCGACCCGCTGCGCCTGGTCGAGGAGCGCTAGTTGCACTCCTAGATCCTCGCTGGCGCGCAAAGTCTCCCACTGCTACCTTGCGGAAATTTTGCCGACTATTTGCGGCGAGTTAATTTCGGTTGGCCTTTTCCGACAATCCCACGTTATGTGGGCGAGAGTGGGCCTGCCTCCGCACCACGGACAACTATCGCTGTATATCGCAGGGTGAATAGCATGCTTCAACGAAAGATTTGGATATGTGTTAGTTTGTATACGGTGCCAGTCATAAGAATTCCGGCCGGGTAAAGCTGTGTGTGGTACACTGTGCCTTCGTCGCTCAATCCGTTGGTTTTCAAGGATATCTCGCTGTAAAAAGGGGCTGTCGTCGTAGTGGTAGGCCGCTCGGTTAGTTAAAGCACGAGCTGCGCCGTCCGCTCTCTCATTGCCATCGAGTCCTGCGTGACCCGGGCACCAGATGATAGCGTGGTCCTGCGTTAGGTCCGGTCCTAATAGGCAAATGGTGTTGTGTGGTAGTTTTCCCATGAGAAAGAGTCTACATGCGACCACGGAATCGGTGAGAACAAGGGACGATCGTCCCAGAATATCCTTAGCTTTAATAGCAAGCGCGATAGCTAAAGCCTCAGCGTTATTCGCGGACGCGGCTCGTGCCGTGGCACAAGTCATAAGGCCTTGACCCGGGGCTGCTCCTACGACTGCGAGCACATACTTGCTCGTGCCGCATAGGGCGACATCTGTGTACACCGTGTCCGGATTGTTCCCGAATTGCCGCTGTAACTTGCGAGCTCGTGCACTCCTACGACCTTTGTGATATCGAGGGCTCATGTTTTTGGGGATGGGGGATACTAGAATCTTTTCACGTAGCTGTTTGGCCATGGACTCCAGTTCATCTCCCGCATACTGAGGACGAACTGGGTAACCTACACGGCGTAGCAATTTTCTCCCAGTTGTGGTTAAGCTAAGCCTCTCCCGTTGAGAGATGAACACCGCTGCGTGTAACTCCTCATAATGATTGTGTATACCGAGGGCTTCGAGACGTTCTGTGGACGTTCCAAGTGGTAGGCCGAGAGCCGCCTTGTACAATGTTCGTATCAACGCATCTAGGGCCTTTAAATCAGTTTTATTGATCTCCTGAAAAGGAAAACTATGTTATACGACTGAGGACAAAAGCCTGAACCAGCCGGAGCGTCTCAGCTGCCTTGAAACCTTTTCGGTGATACGTGACTCTATAAATCATACGGGAGATCTGCTTCACCGTTGTTCTAGGGGTTTTTATTGTGTGGTCCACTCGCTTGTTGCTTTGTAGCCACAGTCCGAGGACTCGCATTTTCTGTACCTTTTTTATCTTGTGGTCTCCTAGAAAGAGGTTGACCGGCTCTTGAATGCGGCGGCCTCTGCCCCGGATTCTAATAAATTCACATTTATTGAGAGGACAGCTCATTCCGCTCTGATAAGCGAAGTTGTCAACAGCGGTCACTGCGTCTTGTAGGATTTGCTCTTTTTGTCCCAAAGAGCCACTGTTGACCCATAGGGTAATATCATCCGCATAGAACGTGTACCCTAGCCCTGAAACGCTGTCTAGTCTTCTTGCTAAGCATCTCATGCCGATGTTGAAGAGAAGAGGAGATAGTATTGCCCCTTGTGGTGTGCCTCTATTGAGCATAGGAAACGGATCTGAGCATGTACTGCCTAGGCATATTGTAGCAGTGCGAGAGGTTAGAAAAGAGCAAACATAGTCATATATCTTTTGCCCACAACCGATGTCATTTACCTCAGATAAGATGAGCTCATGGGACATATTGTCAAATGCACTTTTCAAATCAAGAGCTACGACAAGATGTTCTGCACCAACCATGGTACTGCAGAGTACCTCTTCCCGAAGCAGCAGAAAGACGTCCCGCGTTGACAAATGTTGGCGAAATCCAAACATGCTTGTTGGGAAAAGGTTTCGATTTTCAATGCAAATCATGAGACGTGTGTGAATCACCTTTTCGAATAATTGCTAAGACAGGATGTTAATGATATTGGTCTTAGATTTTGTAGGTCGGGTGTTTTTCCTGGCTTCGGAATAAGAATAATTTTGGCTTCCTTCCAATGTTGAGGAACCACGCCCTTTTTCCATACCTGTTCATTAAAATACCGAGTAAGTTGTTCCAGGTGTTCATCGCTCAGATTCTGAATCATCGCGTTTGTTAGCTGGTCAGGTCCGGGGGCAGTACTGCGCTTTTGCTGCTTGCGCGGCAGCGAATAGTTCTGCCTTGGTGATCAGTGCGTCGAGCACTGCGTTTTCCTGGCCTTGGTATGCTAAAGTGCACGGGGGAGTTGTGAACGCGCCTATGTAATTGTCTCGGAGCTTAGCGAGGAGGGTGTCATCTGTTCCTGGGAATTCCCCAACGAGCTTCTTAAGAGTTCGGTTGCTGCCGTTTTGGTTTTACCAAGTTCCATCATGCTGTGCAGTATTGCCCATGTCTTGGAGGTGTGTAAGTTTCCTCGGAGTGAGTCGCCAAAATTCGCCCAGCTAGCCGTTTCCAACTGCTGCGCATAAGCGTTCGCCCGCTCAGATATCTCAGCAATTCTGGGGCGCAATTTTCTATTGATTCGCTGTTGTTTCCATCGCTTGGTCAGCCCTCTCCTGGATTCCCACATATGTATCAGATAACTATCGACTACCGGGGTTTCCGCTGTGAGCGCAACCCGCTTAGAAGTTGCTTTGTGAGCGGGTTGCGCTCACAGCGGAAATTCCGGCAGTCGATAGCCATCTGATAAATATGTGAGAATTCAGGAGAGGGTTGACCAAGCGATGGACAGTTAAGTGTTTGCCACCAGTCAAGCAATAACCTCACAAATGCAATGCTGTTTTTCAAAAGGAATGACCGAGGCTGCCAGAACAGATTTGGTATTTGTGACTTGTGGCATTCGTGTTTAGCAGAAGCTCGGTGTACTCGAATGCAGGAGGTGTGCCTGGAAGATAACGTCGCGGACGAGCAGGAACCCGTCGAGGTGTACATCGAGCAGTCACCAGAAGAAGGCGCAGAGGGCGTCATGAATGAGGATTACCAAGTCGCCGCCGAAATGACCCTATGACTATTAAAGACTCGCAAATTGTACAGACAAAAAAAAAACTGTGTGAGTTGTCTCTCGTTTGTCACCTTCTTGCAGTCCCATGACATGAGCACTGGTCCTGCATAAAGGAGCATTCTAAGACACACAGTTTAGTGGTGGAATTATCGAATAAATTACTGCGCAAATGAGCACTGCTGTTGTCGCCTTCCTTTTGCATGCTTGTTTTTTGTGCTTTTATTTTTTCATTACGACGTACAATCTCGCTCAACAATCCATTCTTATTGCCAGATATGTTTTATTGCATACATGTAGCATTTCTCTAACTACCAACAGCAATTTCAATGGTCTCTTTGACAGTGAGTAATACCACACACAAAAGTACAATTGTGCAGCCCATGTGTTTAAAGAGTAAACACGAATAAAAATTTTCTGACAAAAGGGTTCAATTACTAGGCTTCCAAAGTCAAACCCTCTTACCATTACGTCACAAGTGCACGCCTCATCAAGTGGAATTCAACACTTTCAAAAGTTAAACGAACACTGACACAAAATTTTTAGGGTGAGACAACTTGTGGGATAGAGTTGTGTAGACACACACGCATAATCTACGTGAAACGCGCCTCTGGTTTCCTTGTAAACAGCTAACCGCCACCTGCGTCACGAGGTCATGTTAGCTGCTGCGATCCTTGTGAGCGCTCTCTCTCAGCAGACCTTTTTCGATGGAAAGAAGGGGTAGGCTTGCATGGGAATACAAAGGCTCATGTCTTTGCCTTGGCAGTCAGTGCATTTTAGGAGGGGTCTTGCATATTCACGTTTCAGAGAGAGCCTTCATTGAACACAGCTGTAAATGCAGTCTGCATGATCACATGCATGGTTTTCTTGTGCTGATGTAATTTTTAAACTGAAACCACATTGGGCCCCATCCCACACAAAAACTAGGCTTGTGTCAATAGTGAATTCTAGGTTCGAAGCGAATCTGAACCAAATAGTGCTTTTGGTTGAATAACTTCATATTGAATTCAAATAGTATATATCACATTTTATTTTTTAAATTGAGAATATGGTTCATGATCCAATTAATCTGCACAATATATTTAAGGTGAAACAAAACGTGTGAAAATGCCGTCTTTTTTTTTTTTGCTTCAAAGTGGAAACAACATTGATTAGTAGCAGCCTAGCAGGATTTGAATTTCAATAGAATGCAAGTGATAACCTGTAAAATATATGAAATTGCAAAATTCACTATACTTGGAGCATATAAGCTGGTATGACAAGATTCTAAGCTTAAAAAAACTAATTGACGTGAGAGTAATAAGTTCACTTAATGCTAAAGTATAGCTGGGAGACGATTTAGACTCCAACCAAAAGTTTTGAAGATACCCGATGTTTCGAAAGCGACTTGGTTCCTTCCTCAGGGGTGACTGTAGGTCTACGTAGCAGCGGCTTCTTCAAAACGCTCGCGGGGAGGATAATGACCCCCCCTTTCTCTTTCTCGATTTACAGTGGAGTGCAGTCCATGTGTATACACTGGGGGAAGGGTTCCGAGAGAGCGGTTGATGTTATCGGCTGTCCTCTGTATGTGCCACGACTCGAGTAATAACCTTCTCCTCCAGTTCGACTTGCTTTAAAGGATGGTCGTCGCTTCGAAATTTATCTGGTGATCCAACGTCTCACATGGACTGCGCTCCACGGCAAAACCAGAGAGAGGTGGGGTCATGATCCGCCCGCGAGTGCTTTGAAGGAGCCGTTGCTGCGTAGTCTTGCAGTCACCCCTGAGGAAGGAACCAAGTCGCTTTTGAAATGTCAGGTTTCTTCAAAACTTTTTTTGAAGTCTAAACCATCTCCCAGTTTCATACCCAACCAGACACACTTCTGTCGCATGTTTAAATTAAAGTAGAGCTTTGCAGCAATGTGGATTTTCCCCGAGTAGGTGCTTTCGCGGTTAAGCATTTCTTTGCTGCAGTGAAACCACTTCTACAGTGGGTTACATCTGTACTTTTTTATTTACTTATTCATTAATTTCAAATGCTACGAAATTTTTCAATAAATTAAATTCGAGTACAGTAATATTTATTTGTTCAAATATTCGCACAATCCTACTGAAACCATAACTGGGACTGGTAGGTATAAAACCTTTTCTAATTAACCATTGCATGCTCAAGCAAACAAGGAGGGGGAGAAAAGATTAAGTGGAAGGACAGGGAGGTTAGCCAGTTCTTAAACCGGTTGGCTACCCTGTGCAGGGGAAAGGGGTGAGGGGAATACAAGATGCACTGATGCGCCCCACGTTTTTCCAGCAAGAAACCTGGTTACGTGAATGATCATGGTGAGTTTCGTTTTCATGTGGGCGAGGAGAGGGCTCCAGGAGATGTCGTGATCAACTATGACTACGAGGAATCAGTGGGTCTTCACGTAGTTGATCATGCGCCCGTTGATTTTAATAACATATGGATCCATCGCCTTATGCGCGAATGCTATAAGCGAGCACTGCACCGATGACAGCTCTTGTTCCGGTTCTTCAAGGTACTTTGTCGCTAGTGTAGCAGCTCTCTGAAGCAGGGCACACAAATGAAGGCGTGTTACGCCTGACGCCCAGATGCAGATGTCATCTGCATATATTGATAGATAGACTGATTCAGGAAGTGCGTCAACCAGGCCAAGGAGGCCTAGATTGAAAAGCGTGGGGCTAAGAACACCACCTTAAGGCACATGATGACGGATGCAATGATGTGTTGTCGTGGCATTCTCCATCCGTACAAAGAAAGTTCTGCCCTTCAAATAGCTGTCGATTCATTGGTAAACCCAGCACCCTAATCCAACATTTTTCATGACATCCAGAATGGCTTCATGCGATACATTACCGTATGCGCCTTTTACGTCCCAAGAGCAATGCTGCAGATAAACGTATCAGTCTTTTTTGATGCTGCACAGATGAGACCAGGTGAATAACCTTATCAATAGCGGACCGCCCACGCCGAAAGCCCGTCATAGCATCAGGGTATACCTTGTGATGCTCCAGGTACCGTTCTAGGCAAGTCAAAATTATCCTCGCCATCACTTTTCCGAAACAGCTGGCAAGTGCGATGGGGCAATAAGAGGTTTCCATCTGTGATAAGGGGGTCGTTAGCTACTTATTGCGACAGAAAACAACAAGGTGTAAAATTTTTGTGTCGGTGCTCCTTTAAGGGAGACATGGTTCCTGAAATTTTTTTCGTTTATTGACCGGGATGAAAATTGCTCACTTTACGCATATTTGTTAGTAGATTTCAAATATGAAAGTACTTTTCTACCCCAATAAATGATTTTTAAAATATCAAACATCATGTGCTTTTTGAGTGCCATAGTTTGCCTAAAATGGAACTTAGAATCAGCACTGCACGCGATAAAACAATAATGGATGTTCCAAACTGATTTGGATGAAAGTTATGCCATGTTGAGCATTCGCAAACGAATCTTCGTCAAGCTAGCATTTTAGTCACAAACATTCGACATATGTACAACTTTAGTCTAAACTGGCTTAGAACATTCGCTGTTACTCACTTCCATTTGGTACTCACTTCAGATCATTCGGGTATGCTTAATTACTTGGTAGTTTGCCTAAGCTTTCAGTTTAGGCAAACTGTGGCTCTCGAACTAGCAGCTGTAATTTAAAAACCACATATTGTACAAGGAAAAAAATTGCATATGTATTTGAAATTAACACACAAATGTACATACACAGTGAGTTTAATTAAAATTGATAGAGAATTTTTAGGCGGCTCTCAGGTGCAATGACCATGCATCAAACCAACAGACTATACCGACACCTGTGTAGTTCCTGCCAAGCGAAACTTGCTCAATTTCTATTAAGCTATGAATGTAGGTTTTACACTTAATGTTGCTTAAATTTGAATAATGATTCCAAGTGTTGCGGCCACCACAGGCAAGAATCGGACCAGTGTCTCGGAGCTTAGCAGTGTGACGCTATAACCGCAGCAACACCACAGCAGTTAAGGTTTTTAGCAGCACAGCTGTTTTAGAGCTAGGCCCGACGACAGATGAGTGTCCATGATGTCATGCTGCAGTTCTCAAACATGTCCGTAGATGACGGGGTGACTGCCTTGGCCGCGCAGTAAAATGGGTAAGGATGGCCTCAACGTGAACGGGGCCCGACGTCACTGTAGCAGGGACTGGTATGGCAGGGGCCCTCACGCATCCCTTCTCTTGCATCTCTACCCAACAGATGTCACATACACCCATGCAGAATCACTGAACATGGCAGAAAATCGCAAGGAAAATGGATGCAACCACTTCTGCGCCGTTTCTGCAGGTTTCACGTCGAGTGGAGCAGTAGTACCACATTTGCTCGAATGTATTGTATGCTTTCTTTTTTTTATTTTTGCTAGCTGAGGTTGACCCCTGTATTATAATTTAATACCAAATTTCGAGTTAAAAAGTGCACGAAATTCTTTTATTGTGTTACGAGAAGGAAACTGACTCAAAGGGGTAGTCACCGATGTATTTACAGCCGGTTACGCGAGCAGCGCCAGCCACAGGGATTAGCTCGCGCCAGTCTATCTGCTTTGTCTTCTTCAACTCTATGCGCTGGCACGTAGCAATTGCTTTATTTTTTCTTTCAGTACGCAATGAGAAGTCACCTCGCGTTACAACCGAGTAAATATTACGGTTTCTTACAGCGACTGTGAAATAATTTTGGCAATTCTGAAAAACTACATTCAGCTGTTAGAACAGGTCCTTCGGATCAACAACAGACTGATGTAAGCATTCTACATATAGTGTAGTATACTGTTGAAACGCTTCATAACACATGCACCAGGAAGCAATTCTTGTCTCTTATATGCGGTGTCTCTTATAAAAGGGTTCGACAGTATAAAGGTTCAGATGTGCGAATCACGACAGTGGAACGCCACACAGAGCTTTCAGCCACCCTTGTTTTGGGACATCACACAACCAATGCGATTGGCCGAGTGACTGGCGGCAAAGAGACCAAGCAGGCACCATTCGTCACCTCAATAATCTATAACACACCTTAGGATGATCGTGAAGGTCTAGCCAGGCTGCTCTGTGAAATTGAGAATAAAAGGAACAGCTTGGGAGGAATGTTAATTTTAACTGCTTCTTTCGAAACAAAATGCGTCGCGTAAATTATTACTAGGGGCGTGCGAATATTCCAAATTTGGAATGTTTTTAGCAGTGTTTGCTATTTGATTTGCACTGGAAATTTTACTATTTGAGCTTCCAAAATACAAGTACAATCAGCATCCAATTAGGTTTTTACTATGCTTCACCTCATCACAGTTTCGCATTGCAGTAAAGCTACCTTTCAGCTTCCACTGCAGTAGAATTTTTCAACGACAAATACGGTCAACGTCCAATAAAATGTGACCCTTTAAGACTTTTAATATGCTTTGCTTCATCACACTCTCCTATTGCAAAACAGCTGTTTTTAAGGTTCCACTACTGTGGCAAATTCATTGACTCGAGAGAACGCTGCTTTCAACAGGAGGATGACAGACGTGCCAAAAGTGAGTCGTCAATGAATGCCGTTTTTTGTACCTGAAATTTGGGTGGGAAGTGCGAAAAATCAAACGCTGCACACGTTTAGCATCCAAAGTTTAACTGTCCTTATGTATTGACATTCACGAGGGAGATTTGGAACTCGACGGTCCACCACATCAATTGGGCTTCAAGTTGAAAGTGAGGCATAGCAAATAGCATACTTGCCTTTCACGTATAATGTGTTGTCGACAACACTTTTGTTGCACCAAACCATGGGCATAAATGCAGTTCGGCCTCTGCGTTGTCTCATTCTTGATAAGACAACTAGTATAAAACATCAGCCCACCAGTGCTTCGCCAAACTAGCAAGAAACACTTTCATGTTGCTATCTCATATAAGAATGTGCTTAGGGGTCCTTTCTAACTTCTTTTTCAAGTATTCGGAAAATATTTTACAAATATTGGTTAAGCATTTGAAAAATACTCTATTTGCACGCACACTCCTATATTCGAATTTGCTTTGCACCCAAAATTTTGCTTTTTGCACAGTTTTAATTATTACACAAATGCCTCAACTCTAGAAATAACCTAAATGCTTACATCATCTGAAACGAGGCCACTCTGGAGCACTTTAGTTTCGAGGTCAAAGCCATGTGATCTGGTTTTGAAGCAATTTTGAGTACCTTGCAAAGCTGGAAAAAGCAACATGTTGTGCACAACATTGGCCATCGCAATTTCTCGCAAGCATATTTTCGAAGTATGCGATACAGGCACCTACAGAGCTCTGCATTGTGCAGCTGCATCCTTCATTGCAATACTGCACGACCTTCGCCACGCAATACATCGGTCAACGCAACTAATGGCCCAACACGATGCCTGTATTGGGTCTTCTTCTTGCAAAGAAGTCTCAACCAGTAGCATGGCTCTGCAGTAAAATACCCAAATGCCATGCAGAATGCCTGGATTACAGCTTGAACCTGGATTTTTGTTCTTTGTGTCCATCAGTATTGTTCATTCGTAGATAATGATGCCACCTGCATATCAGCGACATGGGCAGTTTAATGCTGTTGCATTGAAGCACTCAAGAATCTTAAACACGTCCTCAACCTCAAAACAGTTTCGCCAACTTTAGTAGGCATGTGCGAATGGTGAAGTTTAGGTTCGAAGAGAACAGCGATTTTGGTCGAATACTTTCAAATTGAATTCGAATAGTACATATGTATACGACACATTATTATGAAGAAAAATGGCATTTTTGTCATGGCGTAGTTTAGCTAATCTGCACAATATTTTTTTAAAAATTGAAGCAAGCTGTATGAAAATGGCATTTTTGGTTCAAAGGAAGTGCAAACAACATTAAATAGTAGCAGGATTTCAATTTCAATAGAATGCAATGAATAGCCCGTAAGGTATGTTATATTTTAAATTTTGCTATACTTAAGAGCATACAAGTCTGTACAACATGCTTTTAAACTCAACAAATTTATCGATGTGAGGGTAGTATTTTTATTTAACCTTGAAAACCTACTTCGCCACGATGTAACTTCTCCATGAATACATGTTTTTATGGTTTAGCACTACTTCACTGCAGCAAAACCACCTTTACACGAAGCTGCATGCAAATCGGTATTTAGCCAGGTGCTTTCATGGCTTAGCACCCCTACACTGTAGTTAAACCACTATTACAGGGTGTCACATGCCGACTTGTATACATTTGCTTGTTTCGAATACTTCAGTTTTGAATAATTGAAATGCAATTTGGCGATAGTTCAAATATTCGTAGCGTTCAAGTATTTCCACAAGCCTAGACTTTAGCATGCCAGGGCAAACGAAAAAATTCATGAACCATTGCACTAATGTTGGGGATGACCAGCAAAGCTGTGTTGAAGATCAATTTGTTTTATAATTTTTTTTTAAATCAGCATATGCAACTTTAAAATGTTTTTTCCTCAATTTTTTGTGAGCCAGAAATGCAGCATGCAAGCTATTTTTTGTTGAGAAATTTTCTCACTTCATACATCGACTTCATTTATTCACTTTCTTTTATTCATTTTTATTGCAATAGTGGAGAGTACTGTGTCAAATACCAACTAAGTGTTTTCTGCTGACTTACACTGTTTGCACAGTTGCAATAAGTTCATATTGGTCATTACTTAAGTTAGCCAACTGCCTAGGTGGCCACGGTGGCATATTGTTTTTGCCTAAGAAATTTCGCGTTCTAATGATAATTTTCTTTTCAGTACATTAGTGTTCGTTCAGTTGTGCAATTAAAAATGGCCAACCTTCGCTGCAAGAACAGGCAAGCCAAAAACAACTATTCGAGCAACCAAGCATATCACTTTTAATGTGGATCGAGCCAATAAGCTTCTTCTGAAGTGTGCATAGAATGGAGGTGTAACGATTTCTCTGTGCACTCCTCTGAACTAACAAGAACATCTTAATGCCCTAGAAAAAAAAATACATCTTAAAAATGAAAAGATCAGCTATCTCTCTCTCTTCTGCTGGCCGGCCGGGGGCACAGGATGGTGATTGCAGGCCAGCAGACAGGTGCTACGTCTTGCAGATTTCGTCTGCCAATCGTTGCAAGACGGTCAGCAGAGCATTCCCCTGGAAGTGATTGGTGAAACGAGCTCAGTTAACAAGCACTGGATTAACTGTCACTACATTTAGTAAAATCTGAAAAAAGAACGCTGCACTACAAATAAGTTTAGCGGAAGAGAAATCGACAAACACCCATTAATTGTAGCATGAACCCCCAAGGAAATCCCTACTTCATTCTCAAACAAGTAGTGGTCAATTTGTATTTCTTGAAAAGGCCCTGCAATACTTTTACAGCGTGGTCAGAAAATGCTGCCGATCAGCAGTCGAGTACACCCGAGCCAAACACCCGAGTACAAGCGAGCCAAACACTATAGCGCAGCATGCGGCCTGGAAATTACAATAGATTCTCAAACTCAGCTAGAAATCATTCCCTCTTCTCTTAACAAATGATGCCACGGACATAAAAAAATTACCGCATCATAGACACAAACTTACGGCCATTGGCTAATTTGAGCATTCTAGGCAGGCAGTCACTGCAACAGTGATGAAAGCGACATCTTGATTTTTGGAGCAGAAAAAATGCTAGCTTGGAGGAACTGTTGATCTTTCCGAAGCAGATGGCAAAATATTCCAACCGACTCCTGGAGTTGAAAGTGTCACCTAAGCTTTTTATAAATATGAATACTTGTCAAACATATTGCACATAAAATAATCACTTGAAATAGCACGAAACAAATAGTTAGGCAGATCGATGCTCACTGAAGATCAAAGTGAGCTACCTATACTTGAAATTAAGATATTGATGCTAGATATCGTATAAAAGCGATAAAAGCTGACCACGAAATGAAAAAGTAGCCATTGCCGAAGTATCAGTCTATAATCGGTGCAAGTGCTGTATGCTACTTTTGTTTCAACAAAACAGCCAGCCTCCAAAATTTCAGAAGTAAAATAAGCTGAGCGTAATTACTCACATTAGTCGTCACAGCAGCAGTTAGTAATCGTTATGATGCTGAACTAATTTCACAAAAATGTTCTGCTTGTCAGATATGTATATTTCCACACTGTTAGTACAGTTAAACCCCTTTATAAAAGGCATGCATCCCGGCAGCAGTTCTAGTCTCTTATACGAGATGTCTCTTATAAGCAGGGTACCACGTATGCATTTTTTTATCAACCTGTATTTTACTGTAGGCCCACTGGTGTCTCTTATACCCATTTGCCCCTTATATCAGCGTCTTTAATAAAGGGGTTTAACTGTACAAATAGCTTTGTCAGTATGCTATTTATACTGTCAGTTGTTTTCTTCTAGGCTCGCTGGATGGTCAAGCAATTGAAGTTCACTGTTTTTGCTTTCCAAGGTCCATTTTGAAACAGGCTTGGAGCAGTTACTGACAAGAAGCACTGTTTGAAGCAGCATATCCCTTTTGGAGCAGCACTGCTATCACTGCTGCAGCTGCCGCAGAAAGTTGGCAAGCGCAGGCGATAAAACAAAGCTGTGCGTTTGAAGAAAGTAAAAAAAAAGTGCTCCAGGTCACGACATTTACATGACATACGATTTATCTCGTGCCGACCCTCTCTGCTTAGCTTCAAGGGTCTTTTTTCGGCATGCAATATAAATTTCCAACTACACTTGTACTAGACGGATTCTGACATTTTTTTCCGGCAGTTGATTCAGCAGTAAACTTCTTCAGTGAAGCCATTCTATGGTTATGTTGAAAACTGTTGCAGGGCCCTTATAAAGAAGCTGTACGTGCACTCAACAGCAATGAAATTACAGTAGTTATACAGCAGACTCTCGCTAGCCGAAAATTGAAGGAACTGGGGAAAATAGTTACGTTTAGCAAGAGTTCAGTTTACCGAGAGACGAACGGGGTACAGAATTCAAGCACAAAACAAAAATCAGGTTAAAAGGCAACTTATAAATCTCAGAAGAGATTTTTGTTTACTGACAGTCTACTGTATTACTTCTTGCTGAAGTGAGCAACATAAGGAATAAATATACAGAGCTGATAATTTAGCAAAGCTATGAAATACCATGATGCAAGTAATTTCAAGAAAATTACCGATTACTACTTCAATTACTTTTCACTAATTATTAGCATATGCACGTCTCTTGTGATAGAAAATATATCAACCAAGACAGGAGAGAAAAATAACAAAGAAAACTTAAAGTGCCAAACCTGAAGCATGCAAATGAGGCAGGCCTACATAAAGCCGCCTAGTATTCCAGCATCACACAATGACAAACACTTGATAAAGCAATTTCTATGTAACTTTATTTTCAAAATTATTATTACAATGCCATTACTTTCATTACTTTATAGTGCAACTGAATTACATTTAAGGGGATACCTTGCTTCAGATGCATATTTATTTTTAATAGATTTACATCAAACTTCCGCAGCTTCTATAATTTTATGTCCTAATTTTAATCATTGAACTATTTTTACAGAGCAACATAACAACATAAAACATTTTACTTATGTTGTATAGAGAAGACTAATAAATTGTGAAAGCTATAAAGCAAATCAGCAAACCACAATAACCTTAAATGAAAAATGGATGTTGTAGGCACAGTTGAACAAATGTTATGGTATGTCGAACATTCCCAGCTTGGGTCCAGTTTGACCCACCTTGACGTTGTTCACCCCTGTAAATGTTGTTCAATGTGCCATAACGTTTGTTCAAATGGGTTTAGAGCATCCATTCTTGTTTTATTGCACACAGTATTAATTGCAGGCCATTGCAAAATGCTGATGCTTTCTCACACTCACAGTTACGAAATAAATCTTATTGCTACCAATACAAAAACCATTCAATAGTTTCAAAACTAGATGATATATTAGAACAATATTTGCATGGTTGAAACCTGCGCATACAAATACATAACCTGTGAACGTTTCGCAAGATACGCTCAAAAGGAAGAAACATCTTTCTAAAGCAGGGTTGAACTGATTGCAGAAAAGTAGTTAGCAACGTAATTTAACTATCTTATTGGAGCAATTTTGCAGTTTCTGCCTGTATGCATTGCAAGAAAAATATTCCTCTTGGCTCTATTACCTGCCCCCTTCACAGAGTTGCACTTGACAAATCGGGCCTTTTGAGTGACTGAGAGCACCTGGTTCATTTTGTGGCTAAGGTCATGACTGTGGTACGTTTCGTATTTTTATGTAAGGGCACAAAGTGCCCCAAGAGTTAAAAAACCTGGTGTATAGTTGGTGACAAGCCGTATCGTTTACAAAAAAAACGAAGCATGAGTATGGCTCGAGGTGCATTCACTTATAAGCAACTATTCACAGCATCCATCCAGGATGAAGGGTCCAAAACTGTCATTCAAAGAGAAAACATGCAGCGCGAATAAGTATATTTTCTATAAAACAAGTTGGGCTACTTGGTGCGTATTTTTTTATAAAACGACAGGGCGTGCAAACAGTGGTGTCCCGACTTTTTTTCTTGGATCTGTGTTTGCATGCACTGTCTTTGTAGAATGAATTTTCTAGTTCTGACCAAACGACACCAGTGCTTTGAGTTCCAAGGTTGAGGGCTCACCTGGGTCTCTACGGTGCGGCTGACCTTCTCGAGCGTCTCGTTGCCTGCCTCAACTGCCTTGAGGAGGCGCTCCTCAAAGGTGAGCTCTCGGCGGATGCGCTTCCGCGCGGCCGAGTTGAGGTGAGACGCGAGGGGGACAGGCATCGACTGCAGCGCTCCCGTCATACCGCCTTCCACGGGCTCGTACACCTCTGCGCAAGCAAAGTGACGGCTGCTCAAGTGGTCGCCCAGAAATTCCCCCTCCAGACACGATGTGATGCATGGAATTTCCTAAAATTAACTAAATACAACTTTTGCACCGCGATCATTCAGCCACAATGCAAATGATGGGTAGTACACAAATTCGGCTAGTCTTCATGCTTGCCGGCTTAGAATGCGCTTGCGACTTCGTTTATTGCTGCGGTTTGGTTTTGTTTAGAAGAAAATGACAAACTGTTGTAAAATTTTTGAGCAGATTTGAATACGTGAGCCTATAAGGTTAAGGTGGTACAGTGCAAGTGCTGAGCATTTGCTGATTGTCGTCTCGTGAGACAGCACCTACAAGCCACACGAAGCCAGATGAAACCGAAAGAACCAAGACTAGGCAAATTCCTCCACCATCCATCATTCCAATGCTGGCTGAAGCACCGTGTGTTGCAGCTCCCATAGCCACTAGCGCCAGCGTTCCCTCTAGTGTGTAGAAAACTCCACGATCTGATGGCCGCGTTAAACTTCACCTGTCTCGACCAGTGTCTCGCCGTCTTCTGTGCTCTGGATGCTGGGGATAGAGTAGCGCTGCTGGAGGTACTGGACTCGCGGCTGCGGCGCGGGCATTAGCACGGACAGGGTGCCGTCGATGTCCTTCATCACCGTGTCCATGAGCTTAAAGTAAGGCCAGATGAGGCCCTCCGGGACAGGGTCACCGTCACGAGCTTTCTTTTCCTGCGATGGTGAAATATATTCATTATTTTTTTTTCTGTTTTCAATTTGTAGGCATCTTAGGGTGATAAACAACAGTTTTCTATGTGGTAATATAAAATGATCATAGTCATGAAATCTTTGATGTACTGGCACAACCATTTTTTGTGCATGAGTTCATCATACCACTGTTTATTTCGTACATACACAAAACTGCAACATTATCAGCCCACGATAGCGGCACTTCCGGTGAACACGTCCGGAGAACAGTCTACTTTAATGCTTAACCTACACTAAGGACAGTGAAACAAGCCTACTTTTTGATTTGTGGTTTACATATACTGATGGTAGGGGATAATTTTAGCATAGGCCAAAGCATCAATATGAATATATTTATTATTCTTTATTCCCTTAATGAGATCGCTACGGCACCACTGATTACATCAATGAGTAGTGGCGATCGTCACAACTATTGCAGGCAAAAGTGGAGCAGGCATTTGATAGGGTAAATCTTGTATTGGAAGAGAGCATAGCAATGCATCAAGGAAAGAATATTGTTGGCTTTTCTTTTGTGTGCTTTTCCACTAAATAATTAATGGGTGCAATCGCAACAAAAAAGAACAAACTGCAGAAATTGAAAACTCTGTAAAGATGCTGCTTGTTCTTGAAGCTGTGGCCTCCAAGCGTAAAAAAATGCACACACGAGGTTAGTCACCGCGTAACTTTTTCCTCTTGCCTGTGTACCCTGTTGGACAGACTTGTTCCGTAAAGACAGCCACAAAAGCTCTACAGACCACTCAAGTACATGGCCAAGTTTCTTCGCAAAATTTCTGCAACATGTTTGCAACATCAGCGGCAAGTGACAACCCTGCATCCAAGGCTCATCCACCCCTAGATCGATAGCCCGACTATGTTACCTCTGGGTGAAAACATTTTCCACTTCTTTATGCGACACGCTTTTTGAAAATGGTAGCTATGTGTTTCTGTTTTGAGAGCAGTCTATTGGCATAACCGTTATTTGTCACAATCCTCCTCACAGAGCGACATCTATGCAGCGGCACAACTTTCAAAACACACCACATAGCTTTGATTCTGAGATTAAAATAAAAGTGTAGCACCAAACAGACACCAAAGCAACAATCTGCTCTGCAGCAGTAGTAAATTTATACACCAGTACATGAAAAAAGACCCGTTTCCGGCATAGCGTTGCTGTCAATAACAGCTGGCGTGGACAGACAGTTTGGCACGCACTCTAGTGGTACATAAAGATTTGTGGTCAACTGTTTTCATTTCAACGCACTGTTAATAGCTTCACCCTCACTCTAGAAATTTCTTTGAGAGTTTTTTGCTATGGTAATGGTGTGAGGATGCCTCCCATGTAGCTTTGCTCAAACATCTGATGCATTACTGCAGCAAGACATAGAATTGACCACGGCTGGTTAAGTGCTCTATGTGCCATGCCAGGGTTTATTAAAAGGGCCCAAAACAATGTTTGAGCATGGTCAGAAAACGCTGCTGATCGGTCGTAGAGGCTCCCGAGAACATGCGAGCCAAATATAGCACAGCACGCAGCCTGCAATTCACAACAAATTGTCGAAGTCAGCTAAAAATTGCTTTCTCTTCTTGCGAAAAATGGAGGAAGCTCAAAAATCCCTTGTAGAAGGTCATCTATCAGCTATTGGCCGATTTGAACATGGCACGTCCAGTCAGAGGAATCGCCACGGGAGGCCGTGACTTGTCCAGCCGTGCGAGCTGATCACACTGAAGTCGCGTGTTCAAAGAAACAAAAAAATATCTCAAGGTCAAAAGGCGCGCGTGACATATTTTCTTTGCCCATGCCATATCCCCCCTTGCTTAGCTTCCAGCGCTTATGTCGGGTCAAAAGAAAAGAGAACGCGGTCAGAGCGTGCGACGAATCTTAGTAACTCCACTTGTACTAGACATATTCTTTAAAATTTTTGGGGCATTGGATTTGTGAGGCAAGAAGATCTTTTAGCGAATCTCTCTATGGTTACTTGAAAAAGTGTTTCAGGGCCCCTTTGAAGATTGATAAACTGCATTTCAAGAACTGTAATGCCACGTGTTTCACTATCATAAGTGAGTGCATTATTAGCGGAGAAAATCAAGGTTGAAGTTTCACTTTTAAATTTTGCAAAGGTCATGGCTGTTTTTAAATGATGTCGGTGGTTCAAATATGTATTTTTTATATTTCTGCGATATTGGCTCGATTAAACTTTCTTAAACGTCAAATGCTAGCGCTATGGCACCCACAGATGACGATGCACTTCATTTTTATTGACTAGAAGCTACGCAGGACCCAATAGACACATTCAAAATCTATGACGTCACAGTGTTTGGTGCGGAAATCTCACAGTGGCGTCTCCACTAGCATCTTTTCACGCATTATCTCGCTTACCAAGGGTTGCATCGCAGCAAGAGCGGTGATTTCAATATTGTCAACTTGTACTTTAGTAATACACAAAAAATCATTCTCTAAATTTTTTTTTTTATTTAGTGTCTTTTCAATAATCTGCCAGCTTGTCGCATGCTAGGCTTTGCCTTCCGCAGCTTAAATCGTTTACATAGAGCTTGACAGTATTATGAGAGATGCTTCACCAGTATTTATCACGATTGGTTTGCAGCTTTCTGCACAATTATTTGCCCGAGAATAAACAAGATGTTAACCTCCTCAGTCCCAAGAATGCACCAATAAAAAATGCTTTTGCAAAACTGTTATACTTGACTCCCTGCCCTTAAAAACAAATGCAGAAAAATTATGAATCCAAAAAACATAACGGTTGTCTCAAAATGTGATGGTATCCATTCGCGTACCCTTGATCTTTTGAAGTCTCTAAGATAAAGTACAACAAAAATAGACGGAAATGACTCTCAACATGATCTACAAGGCGTCTACAGTTAAAGGAGTGTACTATAGACGTCATTCACGCTACAACTAATAAAGAAAGCTTTCTCTCATCACGAAGATGCAGCCGAGCGCTTGCGCTGTACTCAGTCATTTTCGCTAGCTCGTTTTGCGAATATGCCTAGACACACAGCGCCACTTCCAGGGCTTCGTGAAAGCAATTCATCCATATTGCGCCAAGACAAACTTAGATACATGGATATCAAATTGTAATGATCTGTAGCCTTTAAAACTATGGTACCCAATTGGGTACCCAGGGAACGAGAAGGTTAAACAGGAAGCCTAGATTATATGTTGAAATCTCACTCAAACACATTTTGCACAATCATGGTGAAGTGTGCCAAGCACTAAATTCAAGACATATCAGTGAGCCCGACCTTTCAGCTCCGTCTGCGCATTGAGAACCACAAGACCAGGTCTATGAAAAGCTTTTCACCAATGCAGGTGCTCACTCATGGCGCTCAGCCATTTAAAAATTCAAGGACACGTTGTGAATGTCAACAGCCCCTCCCCCACAAAAACATATAGTACAGACAAAAGGAAAGAATTCACCGTATAAAATGGTTTGAGATATGCCGTGTGTAACAATGACCTCGTATTGCCTAGACTGTGAAGGAAGCAAAAAAAAAGAGATGCCAGCGCACTAAGTCCCCAAAGAACTACTCTTGCAGTGCTCAAGCTTATGATAAAGGTAATCCTGGTTGTATCCAGGATCGATGATTCCAAGTGAAAAATACACAAATATAAATGATGTCGTTACTACATAATTCCTTTACAATGTCATCACTTTTATTTGTCTTCAGTGTCTTTGGAACACCAGGACCACACACAAGCCCCATTGAAAATGACCTTTCTTTTTTACGTGCAGCTGAAACAAACATGTTTGGCCATCATAAACTCCATTTGCAACACCCACTGACAAGTTGCAACGGCCTTAACTGGTCTTTGTTTCTACTGCTGAATACACAGTTCTATTGACGCTTCTTGAAAGCGCGATATTGCGCAAAAAAAAAAAAAAAGCCTACGCTTCAATGACATCTTGCATTACAGCAAGTTAGGTCCCTATGCTGCAACACTGAAGTGTAACCTTTCAGTTACGACACCCGACGGGCGTTCCATCGCAAGAATGGAGTTGTCATCGTCTGACACCGCAATAGGGCGAGATTACTTCGTTTACTGCGTTCGGTGCAAAGTAACCTCCACGTCAGTGTGCACATAAAAAAGTAGCGTAAATCTGGAAAGGGGAAACGACTGTAGACCCTACTTACAACCTCGGCTTTTTCAATGCGGTACTTGGCCATCAGGTTGTTCCATTTCTTGCGCGCCTGGTCGGCCGTCACGACGCCTCCGAGGCCGATTTCATCCAGGATTTGCCTGCGTGGCAAGTACGGTTCATCGTAAAGCACGCAGATATCCCGGCGAATCAAACTGCGTCACGCTGCTACAAAGATAGCAAAGCCACGTACTGGTACAACGCCTTGGTGGTGTTCCGCTTGCCATTGAAGAAGCGCCGCTTCTCGTGCCGAAGTAGGATGAACTGCTCTGTGACGGCGGGCGACCCTGTAGAGAAAATGCGCACATACGCAACAACATCGCAAGTTCGGTTTAGAATGTCTGTATCGAATCAGATTTCGAGCGCTCACATCAGCAGCCGTCCAAGCCACTACCCGACTCAAAAAGTTCGCGAGCCACCAGCGAGGCGCCTGTGAAGGTGGTAGCGCATAGCTTAAAATGGTGGCGGGCGTGAGCCAAGGCCTTGCAAATGGCGCCAAACGGTCGAGCAAGGACTCGGGCTCGGAGTGGCCCGCCACTCACATTTCCTCTGTAGTGTGCTTTCGGTCGGGTCGTCGGCGAAACGTATCTCGTACACGGTGGGCACCTCGACTTCGCCGTCGTGCGCGACCAACGCCTGGCTTGAGTAGTCTTCAGATACGGATTGGGCTATGATTTCCGCCATGATGGCCAACTTTCCGTTCGGATTGCGCTCTTTGGCTCGGATCAGATTGGATAGGCTTAGACCGACTGCGGACGCGTGCACGCGCGCGGAGCCCCATGGGAAGCGTGACGTCACCGTAGTGCTTTTCATAATGAGCGATTACTGTAACCGTGATTGCAGTGTCCACATAGAACCATCGTGAGCGCGCTACAAAACACAACACGTAGGAAGAGACAGACGAGGACAGGCGCAATAACCGACTTGGGAAACATGAAAAAAACCTTAATAATGAGGAGAGGAGTCACCTTGTTGACCACTGCTTGACTTGCCCGCATTGTGAAGCACAATTTTTCTGCGCAAAATTCCTAGACAAAAGTAGAGATAAAACGGCTGGCAAAACACTAGAAGCTTTTTTCAATAAAAAATAAGGTGACGTGTGCGTAAGTGAAACTTCGATTGCGCTGTGCTATGCTGATTTCCAATTTTCATCTCGTCTGGTTTAAATTTTCTTGGTTGTTGGGGTGGTGCCCCTACTCAGGGTGTTGGCTTTAAAGGGGTGAATCGTCCAGACTGGTCGTTGTCGTTTGTGTCTGTTGTTTCTTCCTGTGGTTTGTGCCTTGCACTGGTCTGGTTTCTATGTCAAAGCAGGTACTCGCCAACTCAACTCTCTCGAAGTTGCAGCAAACTGTTAGGTGTTCTGTGGTTGCAGTGGACGGAAATTGGGGCACCACTCACGCATACACTCATTCGTTCATCGTAATGGTTACATTAGCGTGCGTATTTTTGCATCAACTGTTATCACAAGAAAAGCGAAAATGGGAGTGCGCACATTTATTTCATTTTTCGTGGCTTTCTTCGTCTCGCTGCATCAACTACCCACGCGAACATGAGTTCGCGTAGTTGATGCAGCGAGACGATTGTAGTGTTTTCATGATAAATTTAAGGTAAGCATGGTTGTAACGTTCAGTGAACACGCTTATTGCAATGATGTAACATAAAATAAGTAAGGACTAAGGGGAAAAAAAAACATTCCCCAGGTGAGGCTCGAACTCACAACCCCGGCATAACTCACAAGTACTGTCTTATAAGTACCGTGCGCTAACCAATTGCGCCACTGGGGAGATGCCAGGTTGCCGTCTAAGAGCCTTTATCAACTTGAAACCCACATTTCTAGAATCAATGTGTGGTCATTTTTTTTACGCGACAGTTTGCTCTTTTTCCCAACACCAATGTACCGGCTCGATTCCACAACCCGTGTTTCGGAATTTCCAAGAACATAGTACTAAACACATCCTCGTTGGACTTTCTTTGCCGAGCCATTTCTTGAAAGATCTTTGACGCGCGACGTTTGCTCGATCTTTGGCTCGAGTAAAATACGTGTGTACCTGGCGCCCAGCCCTCAGTAAATTGCAGCGAAGCGCATTTTTACACGCGGTCATTAGTCTTGAGTTTCCTTGCTGGAGATGTTTGTCGACTTAGACAATGGAAATTCCTTGCTGGAGATGTTTGTCGACTTAGACAATGGAAATTCCTTGCTGGAGATGTTTGTCGACTTAGACAATGGAAATAAGTAAGTTTCGCAGAATCCAAGCTTATATGCGACATCGATGTCTGTTGACGACGATTGGCCGCGTAAATTGCAGCGGTGGGATTACGTACATTACTGTGGGCATGCAAATTAGCTGAAGGCGGGCCTTTAATGCTGAGAAACTAACGTGCTTATTATCTAGTCACAGGTCGGGCTACCTTTCGACCGATTCCAGTCCTAGCTATCAGATTTCTCAATCGTGGTTGGTCAAAAGAGCCCAAATCCTGAGTAGCGCGCACTCTCGATCGCGATTGAGCCTCAATGATGATCGAATTCCTCGACCAAGATAAGCGCTCTCTTGCATAAGTACACCAATCGCGATCAAAAATACTGTGACCTTACGTCACACTAACATGCGCGACTGCCATGATATGTGAATGGTGTGTGTTGCGAGACGTCAGACTCTGCCCAGGCGGCGTAGCGAAAAACGCCGCTACCAGCGTCCCCATCGACGCGCTGGCCATAAATGGGTAGCGCAAAGAGAGCCATCCGCATGCGAACGTGCATAGGCCGGGTCCTCTTTCGTTGGTCTTGAGGCACGGTTTCCTGAATATCAAGGGCTTGGCAAGCTCATTCCTTCAATCCAACCTCACTTCAGAAAAGTAGGAAGCTCACAGAACGAACTGTGGGTATAATCCCAAGTAACCACGGATATCCATTGGCTGTCCATTCTGAATACAAATGTCCGGCGGTACGGATATCCAACACGGAAGCCAGTGGACATACTGTGAAAATCCATGACCAGTCTGGTTGTTCTCTGGATGTCCGACAGGACATTCAGGTTTTGAATGTTGACTGGCTGTTCATATCAGGACATGCAAAGGATATGTGCACTTGCTCATCAATATTGTAAAAATAGAATGTAGTGAAAATATATAGACATCTTCTGAATCCCAGGTGACAATCTTGTAAAATTTCAATAAAAGTGCTACTATAAAATTCATTCAAATTTCGGCACACGCATGTGATCCCAGGATGCAAAATGAGGCAAAACAATCTGGTTGATACAGTATATGTGCATTGTATGTCATAAGAAAGATTGTATTTAGTGTTATTATTATCGCATGTGAACTAACGAAATTGCAGATCGAGCGCGTCATAGCACTGCCATGTAGGCAAACGTGCGTGCGCCAGCCTCGACACTTCTCAACAAGTGGTGCACCGCAGTTGCTCAGATTCCTCGAACGTACATGTCATGCTAGCCGTGCCACTCTGGATGTGTTGGGAGAAAGCGGGCGCTATTTGCCTAATGTGCCGAAACCTGCTTGACCAGCGGTACGCTCCGAGGAAAAAACTATGGGAAAGGAGGGCGTTCATGTCGCGTCGCAAGTATGTATGCTTAGCCGGTCTCCTAGCAACAGAAGGCAGATTTTTTTTCAAGTGCGCCTGTGTGGACATCAACAGCAACATGTGAAGTTCCAAAGGATGACTTTTCTACAAGAAACACGGCACGAGCCCCCCACTGTTTTCGGCAGAGATTACCACAGCAAGCAGCAGCAACCCCGCTCACTCGCACGGCACAGATAAGGCCACGTGTTACATATCTGTCTTTACGTCTCATATTGGACATATATCTGTTCTTAGCATGCGTTTATTATTGTCCATCACTTGCATAAGCCCTGCTAATACGTGGCATGCTTCAAGCTCTTCATTTACCTGTACACCTTCTTTAGAAGCATGTGCTACACCCATTCGTTTTTCTTCTGTGCTTGTCTGTGTGTAAGTATTGCGGTTTCTAGAATAACATTGCCATAACATGCACGCATTGGGTTTGTTACTAATAACATAATTTAATAATAACCCATAAAAAAGCAATTGCCTCCGCCTAAGAAGTCGTCGCACTTGAACGCGGAAGGGCATTGAACACCGAAATCTTGTAAGACCGTGTACACACTTTCACAATCGCGGCTGCGGACTGTTAGTTATATGCTTCTCAGCCTTGATATATGTTGATAATAAAGGTTCGATTGTTCTTGAAAGCCTGCTTTTTTTTTTTTTTTTTTTTTTAGAGCTCATTTGCAGCAGAAAAGCTCACACGGAAAAAAGATGGGCCTCTGAGTAGGCTGTGTGGGTATGTTGTTCACATGAAAGGTTTTGCTGGAATATGCACTAGCTATATACACACTAACGTTATATATATATGTATATCCTTTAAAGAGCCTGTCAATGTCCATGTTGACTGTAATGAAGGGATGTCGAGCGAATGTACAAATTTATTACTTTTGTACATGTGATGTACGTCCGTCAGATGTACAGTGTAAATTCGTGGACATTTGATGGATGTCCAGAATACCCTAAATGTACATCCCATTGTATGCGTACCGAATATCCATCGTTACTTGGGATGCGAAAGATGCCAGTTATTTCGTCATACTGCAAGTGGCAAAAGTGCAAGTGAGCATTACATGCCAGCGAGTGCCGAGGCAAGCGCTCCGATGTGCATTCTGTAACACCTAAATGTGTTAAACTTGGGCATACACATGATGCCAAAGCGATGAAGTGCATACATGTGCAACCTAGTGATAATTGGTACGAAGCTCGCTTTATCCAGCACGAGTAGCCCTAGCTGGCGATTTCCGCCTTTTTTTATTTGCAGTTGCACTCTTCATCGATCTCTCCCTTGCTGTGCGTTGTACTGTTTTATTATGCATGCTATAATGTTCTCTTGACGGTTGTCATCCGCTTGTATATACTGCTAATGGGAATACATGCATGTCCAATTTCTCCCTGAACAACGAAAGGCAAAATCTAGGACTCAAGATAGCTCTGGCAATCGTGGAGACCAACGGCAAGAAACACCCTATTGTGGTCGCGATCATTTAGCGGTTTACTTGTATGACGTACGTGTTCGGATTACCTAGTTAATGCCGGAACTTAGAGCCTTCAAAGCCATATGTGCATATTGCCGTGTGGTGGCGACAACTTCAAATTATCGGTGGTCGCAGCGTGTGCGATGTTTATCATGCGCATCACCTGCATTGTCAACTGCTGCACTGGCGCCCACCGCTGTCACAGGCTATGTTAGGCTTCATAATCAAGGTAACCACGATTCTCGGTCAAGGCAACTAAAACAATATCAAGAGACATAAATTATCACACTTTCTCATGCGAACGGCTGTAAAGGACGTGAATAATTCGCTTACCCAACAGGTTCTCAACGGCCCGTATCCAGTGCTCTCGCTGTTCTGCTTCACAAAAGCTGCGGAAATTAGTATAACTGTGGTCTTTTAGGTCCGTGACAATTCACAACGCAACAGTAGCATCAACTGGTGTATTTTTTCGTGGAGTGCGGAGCTGTTGTCTCTGCTCTTGTTTTCGCCTGTCATTCTAGCGAGTGAACCAGCAAGCACTTCACGCGGTTCGGTGACGCATCCGACTAGGGGAGAGAAATTCATAGCTCTTTTTCTAAGTTCTCAATGAGCAAATACACCTATCATTTAGCTCAATCGTTGTTTTCATTGCTGTAGTTGCCCCTGGTTGCGCAGCAAAATGTGCAAGGGAGTCAGGCTTTGCACTACTCAAAACTGTGTCGACAGGTGGCGCTGCGTGTATGCAAAACTCCAGTCCGACGTCAGACTGCATGCATAGGTGAGAAAAAGGTTTGGAGATTTATTGCACATTTATGATTGACAGTTTACATGTACTGCACTTAATTGCAATAATGTCCACGTGACTGCAGCATTTGTAATGCCTGCGCTATTATCACAAGCTATATTGCTTCGAGCATTTCACATATGGCACTTTACATTGTTGACTCATGAAAACATGGCAGAGCATACAGAATGCACAATTTGCAGTATTTTGCACAGTCAATTCATTTACTACATATGTTGCCATTTTTGTGGGAGCTTGAGGTAAACTATGACAACAGTCAGTTACTCAGGTCAAAACACATGAACACAATGTCACTGTAAACACTTCAGCTGAGAAGCTGTGACAGCTGGTCATGCACATGGTTCAATGCGAACTGCAGTAAAAATATTAGCTAGTGATCGAAAATATATGCACTTAATAATTATTTAACGAGTGTAATTTCATAGCTCTGTTGCCAAACACTTCGCTGATAATTGCAAAATATTGTGTATAGGAACGCCAGTGATACTAGCCACTGATGCACTACAAAAGTAATTCAGGTCAATGCCTGGATACATATGCAACCCCTGTTCAAGAATGGCACAGTAACTTTTTTCATAAAGTCAAAGGCAGGGCTTTTATGTGGACGAAAATTTGAAGAAGTAAAACGTCAAGTGTAATCTGCAAAACAAGCAGAGGTGATCCCATCGACCATAAAACTTTGCAATGCTGTGAGGCTTCCGGGGCTTCAGCATGGCATCATTGCTTAGCTAAATCTTCTTCCAATCAAGCACGCTGGGAATCCTATGAAATTGCTAAACAAATATGTCTATTTATGTGCACTAAATAAAGCTAAAAAGTATTACTTAGCCCAGCCACAAATTAGAGAATGCTGAAGCAATGTGGGACCCACACAAAAAAGCCTCACCTTTTCTCTAGAGGTAATTCAAAATAATCAGTTCGATTCATTGGTTCCAACTATAACCACACTACCAGAATGTCCTCAATGAAAGCTAACCTACGTCTTTCATCACTAGCATCACTTAAAAAAATAGCTCGCCTAACTCTGCTTCATAAGATATACCATCATCCATCTCTTCGAAATTACTTCATTTCGCAGCCGCATTACTTATCGCACCGCATCGACTGTCACTTCAAAATTAGAATTCAAACGGGAAATACCAACACTTTCAGTCATTCTTTTTTCCCCAGAACATCTCGGCAATGGAACCACCTTCCCAATGATATAGTCACCATCATTGATAACAAACTTTTTCGCAAAGGTGTAGGTGACACTGCTTAACTTGAAAAAAGTAACATTTTTCTATTGTTTTTGCTGTCCAGTTATTAGCAAGAAATTAGCTAGCACTGTATAACGGAATAATGTTCTTTACTTCTTTTTTCATGTTAGTACTAGCTAAGCTTTTCCTAACTACTCTGTAGGTACTGCTACTACTCATCTGTTGTCTTATTGCACTACTGTATTATTTTCTTGTTGTATATTAATACCCAATCATAGTACAATTCCCCGTTTACCACTTTCTTCTGTAATGCCCTAGAGCCTTGAGGGCACAATAAATAGATGAAATAAATAAATTATGTCATAGGTGCCATGTGTCGCATGAGCACTTTACAAGCATGCAGATCGGTAATTAACAAACAGTTGAGGGAAGTCTGACCTTGACATAGTAAACAGGGATAAAACGAATATTCACACATACGTGTAGTTCACAACATCCTGCAGTGTAACGGAAGAATGTTTTCATGCCAAATTAGCACTCATTACAACTGCTCTCGGCTGCGCACCTTCTATTTAAAAACATTGCACAGTTCTTAGAGTAATCAACAAGTGAAGCAGTGAAAAAAAAAGTTGAACCTTTATTCTTCAAGCCCCAGTTCCCGCAGCACCTTTTTCATGCGCAGCTATGCAACTAGGGCCTAAATAAGTGAGGCCATCCACTACAAGCATGCTCCTAGAGCATAACGACCTGCTCCCCTATTCAACATCCCTCGCCGCTAAACAACAGCGCAAACAGGCGTACACAAAAAGCAAATTGAAATAAAAGTCCGTGTAAGCACTGTTCCTCAGCTTATGCCGGTCAATGGTATTCTTCCTCTGCATCAAGGTTCTCGGCTCCAGGAAACACCGTGATGCTACATCTCTGGGGCACTACATGTCCTTGTAGGTCAGAAGTTCTTCAAGTTCGGCAGCGGTCGTGACGGGCTTGGCGCACTGGAAGCCCCGGCAGACGTATGCAGTGGCTTTGCCGTCGACGCAAGTGTAGTCATCGAAATTCATCAGCCGCTTGCGCAGCGGGTTCTCGGGGTCCTGGTCGGCCAGAATGACGGTCATGAAGGGCAAGAAGTGTCGCCGCAGGCATGACAACAGTTCCTTGGTGCCGGGATCGTCCCGGCGCCCGGCAATCACCACCTGCCAGAACGAATCAAATGTGGTGCAGTTACGATAACGCGTAACCATGCGGCTATGCGTGACCATGCGCGAATTATACATAGCATAACCATGCATTTGACAGATACATCTGGAATTAGCGTACATGTTTAGTTAAACCTCAGCAAAATTAGTGTGCTCCAATAAATAGAAGTCAGTAAAATGGCTAATGTGGCTCGTTATTATACCCAAACTTTCTTACATTTAAATATGGCCTTTCATGCAAAAGCATCGTCACCGATTGATTCATTTTTACTTGGAAAGCGCCACAAGAATGCTCAAGTAGTACATCAGCATAAAGAGAACTCGGCAATTTCAAAAACGAGTTTACAAAAACTATTGGCAAGTCCCACACATCCCCTGGCCCCATCAGACGTTTCAATTGATTGCCCTGGCGTTCCTTTCTGTGGTAGCAGTGAGAATTTGTTCCGCTGAAATCATGGATTAACGCGCTTCACTATACTGAGGTGAGAAAATACAGTAGATCGTTGATATATTCTCGCTTAAATGATTTTCCGGCTCCTACAATTGCAATCACGAAATCCAAAAATAACCCAATTCGAATCGTACGTGTTTCCAGATAAAACATAGTTTCCGTGCTTCTTTTGGAAACGTATTAATGTGGTTCTACTTACAGTGTGTTAGTGGACATGAAGGTGTAAAATATAGTTGAGCTGAGCACGCTGTCGTCAGGTGCGTGAAATTCAAACCTCAGTGAAATGCAGTGCAAACAGCTTCGGCTAGTGCATGGTTTCCACCATGTGAACAGTTGTGAACCTTGTTGCGATCAAGTTTTTCCAACCCGAAAATAACAGTTTTGCTACATCAGATAATTGGTTATAATTGTATACATTTCACTATATTTCAATGATGTGACTCTGCATAATTTACTTTTTTTTATAACTAATAATTTGTAACAATAATGCTCGGCAAGCTTACTCACCTCCTGATGCTCCGCCTGTAGTCGCATGAGGCCGCACACCATTTCGGGCAGTGCGAGGGGCACCAGAATCATGCGCTGGCCGTACACGGTGGCCAGCTTCTCGGCACGCTGGCGGAGCTCATCGCGCTGCAGGAGCATCGACAGCCGCATCAGGTTGTTCAGGGACACCGAGTTGGGGCTTGGCTCCGCCCCGTCCTGGTCTGCACACCAGAGAATTCATTTTACCGGGCCAAGTGGTTGAGGTTTGTGTGACATATAAGCACAGTCTAATGTTATCCGGGCACTCTACGACTTAAAGCCATAGCTGTGCTGTACTTCAAATGGTTGTAAGAAATAACGGTGTGCATTAACAGCAGAGCTGTTAAAGTTGGCATAAAGTGTAATCCATGGAATGGAAAAGCCATTTTAGTGGATATGTGCCAAAGAAATTGGGCTAGCCCTACTACAGAGAACGAGTATTTATGAGAACCATATGAATGCATTGCTGGTGAGAAGGGGAGGTAAGGGTGAGGAGAGAATGAGGGTTAATGTATAGAAGCCTAGTATAACATAGACATGTGTGGTATGACCAGGGGTCGGAAAGCTACCGTAATTACTCGAATCTAACGCGCACCTTTTTTCCGCTCACGGGAGTTCATAAATCGCATGTGCATTAAAATCAAGTGGGAAAAAAAATGAATACGGTCATTCTATTGCCATCGCTATTTCCAAAATGGCCGCCCCCTATGTGCTTCGGCATGGCGCGTCGGCCATTTCTGCCTATGTGTTTCCCATGTGCGGCACTTCATACGTGGGCTGAGAAGTTCGTCATCTTGTAGTTCATAAGCATGGACGGCATGGAAGGGCAGACTCCAAAAACTCGACGAGTGCATCACGACGCCACTTTTAAAAGAAAAGTCACCGCGTGTGCTGAAACAGACGGAAATCGGACCGCATCGCGGTCGTTCGGAGTTTGCGAAACGTGTGTGTGGGACTGGCGGAAACAAAAGCAGAATATCGTCGACAGCAGAGATTCACGCAAAGGCTTCAGTGGGCCACAGCAGGGTCGGTTTCCGCAAATGGAAGAGCTGCTCGCCGAGTATGTGCTTGAGCAGCGAGCGGCACAGCGGCTTGTGTCGACAGAACTGCTCTAAGTGCGGGCTATGCAGCTAGCTTTAGAAAAAGGGCTAACGCGGAGCCAGTTCAAAGCGAGCAGGTGCTGGCTAACTAACTTTATGAAGAGCAAAGGCTTTTCCTTCTGAAATCGAACGGGCATGGGCCAAAACGTGCCGGAGGAGTACGAAGAAAAGCTTCACAGTTTTCAGAGGTTCGTCCTAAACTTGCGGCACAACAACGGCTGCCTGCTTGGGCAAGTCGGGAATGCCGATCAGACGTCTCTTTACTTCGACATGCCTGTCACCACAACCGTCGAGAAGAAGGGGGCGAAGCAAGTTCGCGTGCTGACATCAGGCCACGGTAAAACAAGAGTGACGGCAATGCTCCGTTGCATGTCAGATAGGCACATGCTTCCCCCGTACCTCATATTTAAATGGAAGACGCTCCAGAAAGGAGTCGCTATTTCGAGTGGTGTGATCGTGCGGGCCAACGAGAAAAATGGGTGCTCGTTGCAATCAATGTCTTACTTTTTTTTTTCGCCGTGAAAACCGAGTGCGCGTTACAATCGAGGGCGCGGTAGAATCGAGTAAATACGGTAAGTGATAGTAATGATAAGGAAAAAATACTGATACTAGTAAAATAAAATAATTGATTATGTTTAGTATCTCAAAACCATGATATAATAATGAGAGATGCAGTAGTGGAGCGCTCCGGAAATCTCGGCCACCTGGGGTTCTTTAACGTGCACCCATATCTGAGTACATGAACCTCAAGTATTTTCACCTCTATCGAAAAAGACTGCCACGCCTGCATGGAACGCGTAGCACAGTCGCAGCGAAAGCTTCAAGCGAGGCCTTTATAGAGCCGTTTTTTAAACACTCGTTGGGTCACTGCTACAAGCACAGTTGCAGGGTATTGATTACACTATAAATCAACATAATTTTTGTGTAGAAGGGGGGCATTCTTCTTATTCTTCACCTCTGCACATGAAACACATCTGTTGGAGAGAATCAGCCAAGTAGAAAGGCATTCACTATGCCATTCTTCGTCATTTTTCAAAGAAGCGTGGTACTCACTACACACTTGCAAACAATTTTGTGCAATTTTTTTTTATACTGTGACTGAAAAACAATTATGCCTGAGGCTTTTGTAATGAGTTGGAGCATTCGACAACCCACTCGTTATGCAATTCAGATTGTGTGATGTCTGGTTGTTCCTGTAATGTCCTAATGCCTTTTATTACTTATACTAACGAGATTCCTTCCCCGACATAAAGCCTGCCTGTATTCAGTTAGCAACAGAGTTTCTAACACCGTCATGGCTTCACCGCATATTGGGCTGGCACATGAGGGACCCGGGTTCGAATCCCAATTGTGTCCTTGGTGTTTTTTATCTACTTTTTTTTTTCTTTTTTTTCTTTGTGCAATAGTTGTTACTGAAACTGGCAGTGGAAAACTATGGTGCCAAAAACGACCCATGCGATGTTATACATAATAGCTTTTGCTGTAAAAAAAAACTTGTGGTGCAGTGTAGATGTAAATGGCCCGCCCACCACAAATCAGTTCTGTAGAAACCTCGAATGCGGTGGAAGGGTTAAAGAAACGAAATTGACGACTACAATGCTGTAGCGCGAAGGCTCAAGAATATCGATACGAATTTCTCAGAAAGAAAGCTTTATAATAGCCAGCAAATTCCTCCGCCATCTTGCGAAGTACAACAGAACTGGTTGGCAGTAGTATTCTCTGTCCATGTACTTTGAGTTGTCTATCGATTTGCTCTCGCAATGCCAATTGCTAGCTTCCTGGTTAGCTCAACAGGTAGAGAGACCGCCTGGGAAAGGTGTTTGTCTCAAGTGTCAATCCTGTATTAAGATTAGGTTTCCAGCTGCTAAGAAGCTTACTTTTTAGAAAATCCATAGATGTTTGTGGCTTGGCGCTACAAGCGTGTGATTGTCATATTTCCTTTCTTAAATAGTTTTTTCAGTCCATGATCACAAGTGCACTTAGTGATGTAATGCCTCTCTCAAAAGCGGTACAGGCTCATCGCATCATGAAGATGCTATACCAGCCTTCTAAAAAGCATGACTGCGGTGACAAATGATATGCACAAAACACCCTTCCGCAGCCGGCATTACGCACCATCTTTAAGACGCAGCATGACCGTGGGGTCTTCGCCGTTGCTGAGGAAGTACCCGTTGTCCTTTTTGTCCCAGAAGAGGTGGTCCTGCTTGTCCTGCAGCTGCTCAGCCCAAATCAGGCAGGACACATCGAAGGATGCTTCGTACACATCCAGCAGCGCTTCAATCAGGAAGGCATAGTCCTCCAACATTCCCTCTATGGGCTGCGGCCTGCGGAGAGAAGTTCAAGGGTTCTACAAAATCCAAAACTGCCACGATTATCCCGGATCTCTGCACACAAATTAGAAACGTAATTAAACTTGAGAAAGGCGAAAAAAAGGCTATGTTTATTTTTATTTAGTACAACCAGCGTACATCTCCACTGTTTCTTCTAGAAGCTGCAGATTTTTCAAATCTTGAATCAAGCTGTCACAGAACTAGACTGATGATTTTATACTCCCTATATATAATAAATGACTCAACATGAACAAATGTGCACACATTTTACAACGTATCGAGTGCTCCGTGCCCTTGTACCAATTGCAATATGTTAAAATGTGTTCACGCAGGACTAGCTTATTTCGGGGTTCATACTTTCTGTCTACAGTTTCCGAGGCTTCTGAACGGAATGCGCAAACTGCAAGCATTGCCCAACTGCCAAATGGTCTCATCCTTTCTCTGCACGGTAGCACGTCTCAACATGTCCACATAATTCCTTCGTGTTGCTGCTTTTACCCATAAAAACCTTACATTTTTGTCATTTCTCATGCAGTATCATCACATTACCGAGTGTCCAGTTGTTCGCTTACGCTTGTTCGAGATCTCCCCTCCTGGTAATAAAGGCTGACAACATTTGTAAGTCAATAAAACTCTTACAACGAACACAAGAATGAGAAACAGATGGCTTGATTTATAATATTAATTCACCCTACTATAGAATATTACTCCAAAGGCCATTCCTCCTAATGAAGTACAGGAAACCAGAAAGGATTCAAGTATCCTAGACGGCGACGCTTATCGAAGTTGGTGCCCCAGCATGTCTTGACATTTTGACATATGACCTTTGCCATGAAAAATGAACCATGTTGTGTTCTAAATCAGCCAAAGAGGGAAGTTAACAAGTATCAAGGGCTACCTGGCCTTCAACTGCACAAGAACAAGAACTTGAAATTCAAGATGGTCACCATGCTGTTCCATTGCCAGGGGTCTTTGCTGAAAAAGTGCATATTTTAGCTTCATGTTAACTCAGAGCACTATATAGGAAGTAAGCTGGTCTTACAGAAGCAGTTTCTGAGTCGGCATCACGAGAAAAAATTCCGATAAATAATTTTGTCATGGATTTGTAGTGATGCAGTCATGTGGGAAGTACAGACTATCATCGCACAAAAATGTAATTGAGCTGAAACCTAGACTCCAAAATTGATTTCCATTGAAAAGAAAAACTGCACAGCATGTGTGAAGCTTGTTACAATTACTTACTAGGCTTGTGCGACTATTCGAGGGCTTCAAATATTCGAATGAATATTACAGTATTCATATTCACTTTGTTTCGAATTCAAAGGATAGAAAATTTCCAAATATTCGAAATAAACGAAGAAATGTTATATAATATACTGCATGCAATCCTTTGTAAAGGTGGTTCCACTGCAGTACAGGAGTGCAAACAAAAAAAACACCAATTCAGGGGAAATTTGCATGGCCGCAAAGCCCCACTTTCAATGATTATATCTTACTCGCACATCAATTTATGGTTTTTGTAAGTTTCAAAGCTTGTTCTACTGGCTTATATGTTCTCAGTAGAGTAAATTTTAAAACGTGACATATTTTGCAGGTTATCACATGCATCCTACCGAAAGTCAATCCTGCTACTATTTTTGAAGATGTTTCCACTTTCTAAGAAGCAAAAAAAAAGGCATTAGCACAGGCCTTGTTTTAATTTAAAAAGATATTATGCAGATTAGTCAAGTAATGACAAATATGCCCATTTTTCTCGATAATATGAAATATATACTAATTAAACTAAATTCAAAATTATTCAACCAAAATCACTATTCACTTCGAACCTAAAATTCACTATTTGCACGAGTCTATTACTCACGACAGCAATGCCTACTGCTGTGCATGCCATGTTATAACAACGTCATAAAGTCATGTCTGCTGCTGCTGCTGCACCTATACTTCTAGGCATTAAATGCTTTGAAGGGGCTGTATGAGTTACAACACTTTCTCACTGTGGTCAAAAAAACATTGCTGATCAGTTATTGAGGCTCCTGAGGACATGCGAGCCGAACATGCACAGCACGTGGCCCGGAATTCACAATGAATTCTCAAAATCATCTCGGAATCATTCTCTCTTCTCTCGACGTATGATGCAATATACTCAAACTACCATGCCATATATGTACCCAAATTCACGGCCATTGGCTGATTAGAGCATCATTGTCTGCATAGTTACAGCGGCCACTGTGAGAGGCCGCCATGTACTCAGGTGCACGATATCACACCAAAGGAAAGTCGCGGGTTCAAAGAAAAAACACAAAAAAGTGCTTATGGTCATGACGTCCATGTGACGCTACTTCTTTGCCCCTTGCCATCCCTCCCTCCATCGCTTTTAGCGCCTTTGTCAGGACGAGAGAAGAGAGAAAGCAATTACAGCACACAAAAAATCACTAACTTTGCCCGTACTGGACTAATAGGAAGAAGTTTTTGCAAAAAAAATTCGTTTTGAAAATATTCATCAGCGAATAAACTCTCTTCAATTGAGAAAAGTCTTGCAGGGTTCCTTTAAACTCTACTACTGTTCTTTGCAGAGAAATTCATGATGCAGTTCTTTTCTTTCCTTCGTGGGCTGCATTCGATGTGTGGTTGGAACAACTGTGTGACTAAGAGAGGAAGAACAACTCACCCTTGCACAACAGAGCCGTCTTCTCCACGGTAGGCACTGTGAATAAGCGTTTTCTTCTTGGGGTTGTAGAGATGCTTCTTTATGAACTCTACGCACTTCAGGGCCCGGTCCAGGTAGACCGGCTGGTTTAGCGTACGAGCCGCAATCGCCAAGCCGGATATCATGAGCCCTGCGAGCCAAAATCGGAACACTCAAACTGGCTGATAAGGCAACTGATTTAGAGGAGCGTAGCAGTAGGCCAGCTGGCCAGTTCCGACAAGAATAGTAACTGCAAAAACACAAGGGACACACAAAGCAGTACTAATACAGTCGACATCCGAGGACCAAAAAAATGTCCGAAAAATCGGGCTGCCTGAAAAACAAATGCACGCAAAAACGCACCCTTTTACAGGTAATTTTCGCTGGTGGAGCGGGTCATGGCAGGAGTACAAAATTTTCGCTGCAATCCAGCAAACGCATTATTTAGGCGAATATGGAAAGAGCCGTTTATATTTAAAAAAAACAAAGAAAATCTAATGTGGCCGGCGTCCAAAGTAGTTACTGGACACTGAAGTGGTTAACACTTTGGTTCTAAAAATCCTTTTTTTTTGTTTTTTAGCACGGCTTTCGCTTTGCTTGCGGTGATGTCTGTCTCAATTACAGGTAGCGTAGTGCTGTCACTGTACACCAATGACAGTGTCATCAGTGCTCACATCAACTCCGAACTTGTTGGCTGAGTAGCCGCTGCCTCTTCGATCTCAGTGTTGTTGGAATCCTCCATCATCTGAAAATTCTGCACAGTCTTTGCCAGCATCGGCAAAGCCCTTAACAATTATCTCAATGAACTTTAAATGCCAACAGAGAGCAGATTGTCGAAGGCAGCGTACGTGGACAGAAGTCCGCCACATGCTGTCCACTCCGGGCCAGACAGCCTTCTCGGCATCGAGTGTGAGGCGTGTGTGGCAGCTTTTTTTCACATTGTAAGCCTACGAGGGGGATTTGTGCACTCCGAAGGCACGAATGAAGATGAAGGAGCAGTTGGTGCTGTCGCTGTAAACTGCGAATTTGCTTGACGAAAAGCAGAGCGCCATACAGCTAGAAACTAGGTAAGTGGTAAGTGCTGAAGATCGGGGATTGTGAACTCTGAAGATATTGCGCAGCAGCACACAATATGCAGCAGAGCTGACAGAACAGCACATTAATGAACACAGTGAGGTCTGACCACAGGTTTGACTAAGCTATGGCTGGCAACGGATTGAGCGTGCACCGCTAGATTGCAGCAATTGCCTCCCTTATCAGGCACACGGTACAAACTATTCAGCTGCACAATTTTTTTTTAAGTCCTCTCCAAAGCACCCTTGGACCTAATGCTGACGCAACAGTTTAACAAAGTGCTAGTGAGCAAGTAAAAGCACCTAGGAAAAAGTGGCGGCTTTTGTAGATAGCTTGCCATTCACAAAGTGACACGCTGTAAATGTTGTGTGATGTATTGGAGTGTAAATAATAAATATCTGTGCTAAATTCACAAGTTTATCTGATTTGTTCTAAAGGTACTGCTGTATATAATTAGTTCTTTTACTATTTTAATAAGATATAACACTTAAAAGTAAATAATTAGTGCAGTCTGTTCGCACCACACCATACATGCAATATCCAAAAAACTCGTTTCGCTACATTGCATGCGTAAAATAAACACAATTTTTCTTTCTATAGAGGGACTGAATTCGTGGCTTGCAGTACACACATGGCAGTTCCATGACTTTAGAATTTCACGTAACAAGCTCTTTACTTCAAAAAATGGAAGTGAAGAACTATGCCGTGGAAATGCACCTCATAGTTAATTTCTTATAGTTTAATGAACAGACACGTGAGCTTTCAATCATCGATCGTTCATCGTGTGCAGTCCAGAAAGATATAGCTATACTGTCTTTGTCTAAACAGTGTTGAATATTACTCAGTTTTGCATTGCTGCAGCAGCACAAAGAAAAATCTAGACAATATACAGTCGACAAAGACTTGTATGAACTGCTGCTCCAGCGTGTTGCCGAATACGCATTTTCGTCTGCTAGGGGAAGCTCGTTGCGCTGCCAACGCCCCCATACCAGAAGCTTTTCAGCGCCGCACGATGAGTTGGCTGAATCGGGGAGTTTTACATATATGTTACTGCTGCTGGTCACACCTGTGTTGCGAGGCCCCCGCGTGGAGCTGAAGGGAAGGAGGTCAGATGCGCGGGTGGGTCAACAAGTTTTACAGGAGAGGGAAGGCCGGCTGACGCACACGCTCGCAGAGTTACCGCGCGGGCGAGTTCATTAGTTCCTGAGAAAAGGGGAGGCAGAGAGACTCGCTCTCACACACGTGAAGGCAGGCAGCAGGCCGCTTTCGGAAAGCGCAAGGCGTGAGTTTTGAATTACCGCAGCCGTGATGAGACATAAACTATCGCACACTCTAAGATATTGAATTGCTGTATACCAAAATGATCAGTAATGCTCGTTGCAGACGAAGAATGGTTCGTTATATCCATTGTGAGGAAAGTTTTGCTTAGTTAAAACGAGATTTCACATACATGGGTGTCTATGGGAATTTCAAGGGGAATTAAAATTACAATGGGAATTACAATTGCTTCATTATATCCATTAGTTTGTTATATCCCGCTTCGTTATAATGAGGTTTTACTGTATATATATCAGTGTAGCAGACGCATAATGTCATTAGATGCGAATGTCACTTCATTCGAATGACATTACAATGTTCAGTGTGACAGGAGTATAAATAACCATGTTGAACAAACCAAACTGAACTGGACTTGGCCTATCGAGTGAGTGCACGATTGCAAGAGGAAGACGATTCGAGCGATCGGTGACACGCACCGTTCCATGAGGTGAGAAACTTGTCATCCAAATGTGGCTTGGGCCTGCGCCGGCGCGCCTCGAACAGCGTCTCCCTCGCCCGCTCCAACAAGGCATCCAGCACGCCCACTTCAAGGCCATAGCACGCGGCCAACGACTCCTCGGACTCGTGCACAATGAGCACATTCTTCCTCTTGAGCTCGTCGTGAGGATCCTGCGCTTGTGGCGACAATCATTGAGACGTTACAACCGTGAGGCAGTGGCGTGCACACAATGCAGGCTGCGCTGCCATGCACGGCTTCACCATTTAACGCACCGTGAGACAGTGGCGTGCACACAATGCAGGCTACGCTGCCATGCACGGCTTCACCATTTAACACAGCTATGTTCGGCATTTGTTACAGAAAGAATGACCATACAGGCTTTACAACGCAGTCTACCACGCAGCTCCACTTACAGATCCCCACTTGCAGGTCTTATTTGCGCACATATTAGGGAAGTCAGAGCAGCCTGATCCTTGCAATTTAGGGGGGGACGGATAACCCACAGTCACGAATGGAAGCCCTAAACGAGATATTCTGAGACACTAACGATTTTGTAGTTGCGCAACATCCCGCACATTCCCAGAGAGGACCTGTACATCCCCATTTGCCAATAATCAACTTGCTATCAATAAATGTAGAAAATAAATGTATAATAAAGGGCTCTTTTTTTTTAGACAAGATGCTAATGAGAACTGACAGTGGTGCCGAAGAAAGTATAGGAGATGATGTTAGAAGCAATTGTAATTTCCCTGCCAGCGGGATGTATAGGGGATGTCATTAGAAGCAACTGGTTTCTGCCAATGGCAAGTTATCTTTTCGCCCACATTTTTTTCTTTTCATTAACATAACAATTACTTTTAATAACATCGCCTATACTTTCCTTGCATCATTGCCTGTCAGTTCTCATAAATATCAATAAATTAAGAAAGAAAACTCCAATGTCAGTTAAGGTAAGCAAGGTGCTCTTGAAAAAATGTTGCGTCCATTTTGTGCAGTAACAGTCTCCCTACTAAAAGGTCAAGTGGATAAGAGACAACAGAGGATCGATTACCTGCATGGGGTCGACATTGCCGCACTTCCGGATGTCATAGTAGCGGCACACAATGTCGGCGACGGTCTTGGTCGGGCAGCTGGGAAGCGGCTCCGTGAGCAGACGACACACTTCGCTCTCCTCCCAGACGCAGAAGGCGCCCTCCCTCTTCTCCTTGTCCCCGTGTTCAGGGTACGAGTCGGCGTCCTCAGCGCTGTAGAAGCCGCCACTCTGCAAGCGTGCAAAACTTCGTTTCAGCTTCTCGTTAGCACTCCATTTCAAGGTCATGCAGAAACAGTCACGGTTGTGCAGAAACGGTTTCACGGTTGTGCGGAAACAACACCAAAAGATGAGGACAGGTGCGCAGCGCAACAACATGCAATGCGTACACCTGCACAAACATAGCACTTTGTGTGTGTGCTTCTGCATCGCTCGTACACCCCGGCTCAGATGCACTGCTCCAGTGGCAGTTAACATACAGTACCCAATGTGCAACCAAAGCCCACAGAAACAATTTTGTAGAAATCATCCATGACAGAGCTTTACCTCTTTGATGGGGGGTTCCCTCCCCGTACAAGCACTGCCAAATGTAAGGTTTTATGGAAGCAAGCTAACCGACCTTTGAGCAACAATACTTGTACACAATGTCACATGCTGTGCCGAACAAATTTGGAACACTTGATTTGGACATGCGCAGCACTCTGAAAAGGCAGGCAGCGCATTCAGCATCTGCTGCAAGCCGACAATGCCACTCATGGAATTTAAAGAAAGTCAGACATGAAGCACAGAAAGCTCTCGCTATATACGGTAGTCAAAGTGGCCCATTTCGAGTAGCGTAGCAGAGATCGCCTGACGCGCGCGAAGGCGGGACACGAAGCTGCTCCCCACCCTTTATGCGCCTGGCCCTTTCCCACCTCATCTTCTACAGCGACCTAGAGTCGTCCTTTCTTTTAATAATAAAGGTGACATTTCACTCATTTTATCTTCCTCCTCCCCCTGAGCAAATTCAAGGGGGTAGATGGTAAGTGCACTCTTAAACCCACCCCCCCTTTTCTCCTGAGGTGAACAATAATTGACATAGAATGCAAATAGCCAAACACTTAACATTCCCAGTCACAATGCTCTCGCTTATTTCGCTTCATTTGAAAAATCAAGAACTTGAAGTGGTTGTGTTGAGATAGGGTGCTTAAATTAACCTCGAAATTCAGGAAAGAACTTGACTCGTTCTGTAAAGAAGGCTTTGAAAGTACATGCCGCATTCGTAAAGTTGCCAGATACTGGTAACACACTACAAGCCATGCAAAACACATGGGGATTATTTTGGCATTGACTGGTCTTGAAATGCACGCCGATCAAATATTAACATTAAACCCGAGCCAGCCTTAAGACTTTTAACATCAATGTCCATTACACCAGTCAATGCTCTGTTACTACATTTAAATCTACTTTTTACAGTGAAAGCTGTTCCGAGACCACAACAAGGATCGCGTGCGCTGCAGTTGTGCACCACCGCCAGTGTTCGTAACCACTGTCGCACGAAATGAGAATAAAAGATCTAAGAAAATAAAAAACACCAAGGTCACGATGAGATTCGAACCCAGGTCCCCTGCGTGCCAGCCCAATATTCTACCACAAAGCCTCTCTGGTGCTTGAAACTCCGTTGCAAACTAAACCTAGGCAGGACCTTGATGTCGAGGAAAGGAATCGCGTTAATATGAATAATAAAGCGTTTGGAACAGCCAAGGAACAATCAAGCATCAAACAATGAATTGCGTGCCGAGTGGGTCATCGAATGCTCCAACCTGAAGCTTCAGGCATAATTCATCGTCAACAGCCACAGCACCAAAAAAAAATTGCACAAAATTCCTTGCAAATGTGTAGTAGGTACCACACTTCAATGAATGACTGCAAAAATGGCATAGTGGATGCCTCCCTACGAGACAAAAGTTATGATGATTTATGGAGTAGTGGGTACCCCCCAGGTGCGCTTATAGCATTCGCCCAATGAGTGTTTAAAAAATGCTCTAAGAGGTTTCTCTTCCAGTTTTCATTGTGACTGTACAGCACATTACGCACAGGCCTGTATTTTTTTTCCCCTTCCTTTAATGTACCTGTTGTACTCAATGTGAATTCCTTTCTTTGTAGATGGGCTGTACTTCTCATGCAGAAAAGGTTTTTTTCTCAACTTGGCAAGTGGTCATGAGATGAAGCACTTTGGGTGCATGTACAGTCACGGACAATTTTATTAGAAACAAATCAGGGCTAATCACCACGCATTCTTTCATTGTTGTTTTCACCAGAACTAATTTAGAAGACGCGATCTGCTTTCACACTTAATGTGAAGCCCCAACAATCTTAGGTAACTGCACAATTACCAACGCAAGAGTGAACTTGCAAGTTATCGTTTCCCAAGGCCGTTCCACTCTTCACTTCTCGGACACATTTCATTTGTCCACGACTGTACAAGCATTTGCAAAAAAGGGCGAATTGTCATTGACACACGCATACCACAAAGCTACACCAGATCAGTATTACTTCACAAGAAAACTTTATTGCTGAAGAAATAGGTCACGTTCTGGTCTCGTAACTGGACCCGTACCGACGTTGGCCCAGAACGTCTATTCCACATCCGGGACTATACAGCACAGACTTAAATGCCTTGACGCGCACGAAAATTGTACCATTTGTTTTTCTTTTTTAATAGTTTCATGCGACAGAATGGGTAATGATGTATAACATCAACTTTAACTGCCACAAGAGGGCAAACCCTCGCCATGATAAGCGAGGCTAAACTTTTGCACTCGTGCACCCGTCAGCCAGCCACCAATGAGCAAGAGATAATCGCAAATAAAAAAGGAAAAGCCGAAGAAAACAAAGATTACACACAGTAGTAAAGTTAGAAAAAAAAAAAGCTAACATTTTTTCTCCTTTTTTCCCGTGCCTTTCTTTTTGTGGAGGCTTGCGCAAATACTCGCATGCTTCGGTTATTTATTTATTTATTTACAAGATACTGCAGGCATGGAGCCCAAGCAGGAATGGTACAGGCAGTAAGGCAATCAAGCCAAGCATCACACAGCATACAATAATCCAATCATCACACACATACAACAATAATGCAACCAAGCTTATCATAACAGCAATGATTTAAGTGGGATTGCGAGAATCGCAAAGGGAAACAACATGGCACTGAAAGTAAGCAATCAACAAAAAGGATCAGTGGAGAAAAAAAAAACATTCTGAACGAATGTTACTGTATTCACTGATTTCAATTAAATTCCTGAATTTAAAGGAACACTGACATCAAATTTACTCATGTCAAGATTTTTGCGTCAACGAGTAGCTATGGACCCCCTAGTAGCAATTCGCAACTTACAACACATCTGAGTGACGAATGAGTATCTGTAATATTTATTAATATATTCACTATCGAGCGCGGTTCAGGATGGGTAGAAAGCCCGCCAAATTGTTGAGCTGGCAGCGCTAGCTCGCGGCCATGTTGAGGCCGCTGCACAGCTGATGCCGCTTCCACAAAAAATGGTGACGTCACAGAGGCGTTTCGTCTGCTAGAAGCTCACGTACAGTCAGTCCAGCTGTGTCTCTGAAAGCTTAGACATGTCTATGTCGCCAACATCGTCTTCCTCGCCATCATCGCAGTTAACATCGGCAAGTGATGATGACAGTGACCTGAAATTGGGTATTGCCGCGATTCACGACGATCCTTGCTTGACAAGCTCCGCAATAAATGCAATGTATTTGTCAGTCCCGGCCGTGCTGTCGGAGCTCCGGAACACCAACTACGCACCTCATGTCGCGGACGTTTGGCGAGTGAATCGCTGCTTTCAGCTGCAGCAGGGCACACGGTAGAAATAGCCCCTGCCCCGAGAAGAGGCCTCGTACTGCCAGTGAAACACAGCTGGTTCGCCAACACAAAATTTACCCTTTAGCAGCTCGCCGCAAAGTGAAGAGAACAAATGCGGCTGTTCTTCACAGGCCTCCAGTTCCTCTGTCCATCGGCGCGGCGAGTACGAAGTTAACTCACTGGCTGCATTGAGGTTCGTGACTCGGAAAAGCATGAAAAGCCGCGCACTTTCTGCTTTTTGGTGCATTGACGCGCAGGTTCTCAAAATGCAGTGATTCCACGACATTCTGGCACGTATTGTGACTATGAATGATCGTACTCACACGTAGTGGAGCACAACGCAAATCAGTCGATGTGACACGATGAATCACACACACGCTTCAACACAGCAAGGAGAGCCACTAGTGAGAGCATGGCCGGGAGTTGGCTCCAAACACACTCAGAGATCGTCGACGTCATTGTTACTAGCGTATCGTCACACAGGATGGTACTGTATTTGTGGAATGCATCACACCGAACTGGTGTCGGTGTCGCGTTTTTTATTTTTTCTCTTTAGCATTTTTACGCTGTTTGTCGTCGAAATGAAATAACTTAGACGCAACGAACACCATTCAAGTTTGGCCAAGAAGACTCATGCATACCAAATGACCGAATGATGAGCACATCTCGATCATGAAATTTGATGTCAGTGCTCCTTTAAATTACTGAAAATATCGAAGTATTCGGAATGAACAAATGAACGTAGTCCGCATATTACTTCCTGTAAAGGTAGCTTCACTGCAGTAAAAAAGTGCTAAATCGTGGAAACGTCTCTCTAAGAAAATCTGCACTGCCTCGAAGCTTTACTTCAAGGTTAAATGATCATATTGCCCTCACAACGGTTCATAATCTTTTTTTAATTTTAAAAGCTTGTTATAACAACTTATACGCTCTAAATATAGTATATTTTAAGACATAACATATTGTCGCGACGTCAAGAGGGAGGTCGTACTCGAAGATGCTGAGAAAACAGCAGCGAGTCGGTCTTTTTGTTAACCGCGCGAGAGAGAGTTCCTCATCTTTCTCGTTGTTGCGTTCTGCATAAAAGCGTGCAGATGCGCGTATGCGCTGTCGCCTTCGTCTTTTTCGCGGGACGCACGTGACATTTGCCTCCCTCCAAAAATGGCATCGTCCCGATGCGCAGCCAAGGCACTCTACTTATAAAAACGCACATATGCACCGGCACGCACAGGACAAACGAGAGTTAGCTGGACAAGTAGGGTTTCATCCAGATGACATGCACGATTTCGGGTGAGCAGTTTCGGCGACTGGAACTGCAATCGCCGTCGGGAATAACTTCGTAGTTGATGTCGTTCAATCGTCGGGTGACTCG